GTTCAAAAGCTCTCTGGAACTACATGAAAACTGAACAAAGAATTCTGAACATCAGCCATTTATATACCAAACCAAAATCCATAATCAGATCCTCTTCAAATGTGTCCTAAAATGTTTGTTTCATGTTAATGGTTACATCTGGGTTCATTGCGATCGCTTTTTGTCACATTAAAACAGTATTTTTGTCATGAAAACGATAATTCAGAAAATCTCCTTACATTTGTGTTAAGGATGTATATATATATATATATAGTATAATGCATTCTCCGATTAATGTTTAAAGGTGTTGATTGACTGATTGGTATGATTGTTTATTGAGCGTGGCTAGCTCCACTAGCATCTCTGCACAGACAGAAGTAGTGACAGGCGCTGATAGCTCGTTGTACTTGCGAAGTAATGTTAGTATTTTACACACATGAATTACAAACAGAGATCGCGTTGCCAAAGGGCAGCGGTCATTATTCGTTTGAGAGTTGAGATGACGTAGTTATGAAGAAAAAATTATCGGTAGAACGTTTTAACCCTAAGTCAATGGAGTGTTCTACTGCTGCTGTGAGGAGCTGTATAATAATTAAATATTCAAATATATTCTAATGTTTAAATTAATACATTCGGACGCGAAACTAGCGGTATTCTTTTACTTATATATTTTGTACCATTTCATCAGTAATTGTAAATACAAGAAGTTGCGCTAATCCTAATGTTTGCATATGTATCAGATCGCAAATAATCAATAGCAATTTTTTTGCGGATATTTTTGATATGGATATCGCACGCACCAATATTGCGATAACAATGTTTTTTCGATATAACGTGCAGCCCTACCTCAAGCACAAGGATTTCTAATTTTCTATATACTTCAATTATGTTAATGTTCTTTTTCATCAATTTTATGTTTGGTGAGTTTAGTTTCTTTGGTAGGATTTTATTCTTCTGGGCCTCATCTAGACTATTCGGTGGGGTGGTGGGTGCACTTTATTGATCCCCGTAGGGCAATTCATCCTCTGCATTTGACCCATCCTGATGCCGCTAAGGCTTACGCCAGGAGCAGTGGTCGCCGTAGTAACAGCACCCGGGAACCCATCTCCAGATGTTGATGCTCGGCTTGGTCAGGACTACCGAAGCTGGAGGATTTAACCTATTGAGCAGATTTTTAGTGGTAGGGGAAACCGGAGTGCCCGGAGGAAACCAACGCAAGCACAGGGAGAACATGCAAACTCCACTCAAAAAGACCCTATTCCGACCAGGATTTGAACCCAGGACCTTTTTGCTGAGAGGCGAAAGTGCTATGAACTCAGTTTTAGCCAGTTAGTAGGTTCTAAGAATAATGTTATTGCATTGTAACCCTTGCCATCTGCAATGCTAACAAAATGCATTTGTTTCCCTGTTGGAAAGTATGGAAGTATTCAAGAAGCACGAGAGTAGCAGTAGAAAGTAGGATGCATGTCTTAGTCCTCCAGGTCTGCTTTGACTATTTTGTATTCATATGAGAGAAACGGAGGAATAGGGAGTGCTGGATCCACCCGCATGCATACAAAACAGAGGAGCCGCAATCACTGGTCCTGTGGGGTGTCTTCACAATAGCCAGCCTGCATCAAGATGATAAATAAGTGAGGAAGGCCGAGGCTGAATGTATGAATGTGTGCATATCCAAGAAGGTTTGAGATAGTAGAGAGAAGCAGGAATTTGAGAGGCTACTCCAGATCTACTGCAACAGCTACATCCACAACTACTACTCTTCAAAATAATACATGCAGAATTACTCCCTTGCGCCACATGTAGAAAAAATAGAAGCCATAATAAAAATGATCGCAACAACACCGTATTGGTAAACCAGAAGTGCTTTTTAACCATCTAATTTTGGGAAGTCTCACCTTACAGTTGAAACTAAGATATTTTGAAAATTACATGCAAGCCATTATCATCAAAATCATTACATGTTTTGTATTTTGAGATCAATTACATTTTTGAACAATATTCTATTTTTGTTTAGTTTCATGCATAAACATTATCATATAGATGGGTGTCATTGGCTTAACCCTTTTTTTAACCCGTTTTTCAAGAAAATATACAATTTTGATTTCAAGATTTCAAAAGGCTATAACTTTAAAATGGTTTGAGATAAAGGCATACTGTAAATTATAAATATCTTCAGTTTGAACCAAACTCTGGGATGGAAGTTGATTCGTCATCGAATTTGCATATTGTGACATCATCAAGGTAGCGGCCATTTTGGAAAATGTTAATTATTGTATAAAGATTTCAAAAAGCTGTAGCTTGGGAGTTTTTTGAGATCAGGGAATACTATAAACAGTCAATGTGAAATATCTTTAGTATGAAATGAATTTGGGTTAGAAATAAATTCCCTGATCCAGATTATAGATAATGTTTTAGCACTGGTTCGCGGCCATATGGAATTGTATTATTTTCAAAGGCCTTCAGTGATCAAGACAGCACTCTTTATAGTTTACAGTCATGAAATCTGGAGATTGGTTTCAATATTTCCCTTTCAAAGAAGTGGTGGGCTTACTATTTTTCTCAGTGGAAATGAGGCTCCAGGATTTATCGTGTAGAAACAGAGAGATGAAATGAATGGGCACAGAACATGTCAGATCGTCTCAACAAGAACGGCAGTAGCTCCGTTGGTAGAGCGTTGGCCTTTGAGCCTGAAGGTCATGGGTTCAAGCCCCGCTCAATACTTTCACCATCGACTCCCACTGTCTGCTGTTGTTGTGTCCTTGGCAAGACACTTAACCTCTGGGAACACCAGCCACAGTGGGGCAGCTGCGGCTGTAAAGTGCCAAACTGCCGTTGTGTCCTTAGGCAAGACACTTCACCCCCATTGCCTGGAATGAGTCTGGTGTGTGAATGGTTGGTGGTGGTCGGAGGGAACGATCGCGCATACTGGTTGCCTCGCTTCTGTCAGTGTGCCCCAGGGCAGCTGTGGCTACAGTAGTAGTTTATCACCACCGTGTATGGAGTGAATGAATAATGACACATGTGAAGCGTCTTTGAGTGTCCAGAAAAGCACTATATAAAACCCATGCATTATTATTAACAAGAAACAACAGGCTCTTCAACACTTCTGATCCACTTTTGTGGATTATTTTATCTCAAGAACTGCCTTCATCCTCATCATCGCTGTTGGTAAAGGCAGTGAACGCGACTCCCCCGCTACTTCTCCCGCGTCTCCCGTGTTCCCTGTGGATGTCTACCCCCGCTACTTTCTTCCACATGCCCAGTGTTATGATCCCCCTGTCCCCTCGACCACGGCCCCTGCTTGGCGTTCACAGAATGCTTCTACCACGGCCACACGGAGGACAAGCTGGCTGATTGTGGACTATATGGCGCGGTCTCCCCGTCACCAATAATGCTTCACTGGACACCTGCGTGTCTTCCTCCTCTAAATCTGAGTCAGCCAGTACCAGACCAAGTACTTCTCTGGTACTGAAGACCTCGTGAGTAAAAGAAAAAACCCTCTCTCCCTCTGCTATGCTCTCGCCCCTCTCAGCTCTAGCGCTGCTGCTTCGCCTCCGCGCTGCAGCGCCGCAAGTGTTTTACAAACTCAATTTACTCAAAAACTTTCAATATAACCACACCCACAAATGCTGGTCATATTACAGGCACACATGTCCACTAACCCCTGGTGAAAAGTATTAACAAGATTCTGCACCACATTTTTACATACAGCCTGTTTAAGTGAGCAATGTTGCTTGTCGCAATATTGCGACTTTGGCGCTTAAAGGGTTAAATCCTTGTTTCTCACACATATAAACTAAGGTTTGATAAGTATGCCAGCTTCAACCACACCATACTTGATATATTCAGACTACCCTGGACTACCGCGTTGCAAATTCGTCTCAATAATGAACCGCGTGGGTAGGATCAAAGGCATGGATGTGGAACATACCTTGCAAAGGAATTTGAGTTGAGCCTGAGGAGGTGAAGGCACTAATGAATGTAAACAGTCGTGAGGACCCTGTGGGTGTCAGATGTGTGCCGAGAACGTATCCCCACAAAAATATGTTAATCAAGGCTGCAAAAGTCTTTGGTTAACTTTAGTTTGTTCACTTAGTTCAGCTGACCTACTAAAGAAAGCAGATGTAACCAATATCAAGTACACGTAAACATTGTACGATTTAAGCTTCAAGCTAATATTCCAGATGATAACTATGTTGTGTTTATGTTCTAGAATTCTGTTTTAGTTGGAGGCTGTAGGTGCCGACACAACTATGGAAAATAAGCAAATTTTGAAAAGAAAGTTGAAGAAGAAAATGTACAAATGTTTTTTGCAGATCATTATTTGATACAGATTGGTTTTAACTCTCCATATTATTGTGATAATAGTCTGAAAGTGCTTTGCTGGTCGACATGCAAACGATTCTGAATATTGTCACCACTTGTCGGCACCTTTACGAGAGAATAATTACACAATAGCAAATATGGGCTCAGGAATTATGAACTATACAAGAGTAGAAGTTTGACTTTTAAGAGATGCCCTCCACCATAACTATAAACTATAAGTAAATGTTACGTTAGGTATGTTGTGATGTCACATGAACGCAACCTTTATGCCACACACATCACTTTCTTACATCAAATACCTGCTATATACAACAGACAACGGCCTCTACTGATACTACCACAAATGAGTCATGGATTTTAAGTCTTAAACCACATAGAATGCTACAGACCGTACAAATCTGTTCCAATATGCTCCTCTCCGTGTCATATAGAAACCATCACAAACGAACCGGACGACATTTTATTTCGGTGTTAAAAAATAACCAGACATTTTGCCCCCCTCAGTACAAGCTATAGGCCAGACACAGCGGATTGATTACACAGCAGCTTGTGAAAGTGATGAATACCGCAGCACAAAGGGGGCCCTATATTGGAAGTATATTGAGAAGTGGGAGATTGAAGAAACCTAGAAAAGTACAATGTAATCACAAAACTCCACAGCGCCCAGAGTTGACTTAAAAGAGTGTTGGGCAAACCTAATAGTGCTTCCTGGAGCTGCCTCGATGGTCCAGATGCAGTGCAGGTTGTGCTCGTAGGGTGCTGGGTATCCTGGAGACAGAACCCGACCAAAGGGCTCCTCCTTGATTGTCCCCCCACATTCAGCTGCAGAAAACACATTTGAAATAGTTACAAGATTGGAGCACACAATGCACAAAGAATAAGGGGGAAAAACTGTTAATGCTGTGAAACTGTGGCATAAGACGGAGGTCCCACAGGTGTAAAGATAAAATCATAGACACAAGCAGATATAAGTCGTACTGCTAAATCGCTGAGAGAAAGGTTGGAAATAATGGAAAATAACTGAACCTGCTGCATGACCTCTTGAATACAGTGCATGGGTTTCTCTATGGGCTTTCTCTACAACAACGGCTTCGCTAAAATGTTTCCCTTCTTTGCTCACAATTTTTTTTCTACTCATAATTATTTAATTCATTGATTTTACCAGTCCTCTATATCTTATAACATTTCAGGGCTGCACCTGTCTGTCGGTTTGATTTTTTTTCATCAAATCAATGAAACAGAACACAGAGAACCACAAAACTCATTTAAATTCAATTTAATTCCATTCCCTTTATTTACAAAACGTTCTGTATACTAATTCCTACAATTTGTAAGTGCTTTATGAAAGGGAACTCCTCAGAAGCTGCAATAGCTTTCAAATGGGGGCTCCAAAACAGAACATGTACAACAAATAAGTCATTATTTCTACCTTACCTATACCCTAATCAGTATCTTAACATTGTACCTAGATTAATAAAGTCTATCTTATCTTATCTTATCCACACATACTTAAAGTTTCATTTTCCACTCGTCAGTTCATTTTTTTGTTTCATTTTGTTATAGTTAAAAATATTATGAGCAATACAAATTCCAGTGATCGTTTTTTTTTTAAATAAATGTTCTCAATGATGTAGATTGTATAAATGAACTGTTCAACTCACACAGTGTAAATAGCCATGAAATAAAACAAAAAAATGATTGAACCATGGATCTATTTTAATAAGGATAGGTATTACTAGCTTGGAGCTGAAGGACCCATGTGCTGCAGACTAAACCAGACTAAATTCACGTGGGCTACCCAGAAATTTTCCCCTTAGAACTCAATGTAAACTAAAACAGCTCGACCTCAGCTGACAGAGAACCTAAAGCTTTCACAAAGGTCGGATTTTGTGGGGATTTTGGTGTCGATTGTCATCCTGAACTTTTTTTTCCTTTTAAATCCTTCAGTTTTCTTTAAATCCACACTTTAGTGCCAAAAACTCTGCTCGTCTGGCTCCCGCTCCAGCTCCGCTCTGATCAGCAGTACTGATTGGTCAGAGCACGGCCGAGCCCCTCTGTGCGAGTGCATGACAGCCACACGCGTATTTGGCGCAACGCATCATGGGAGCTCATCAACTGTTCAGAACGACAAGACAATGCCCAAATATAGGCGAGTTCTGCTAATATGTCAGCACCCGTGCCGGCACATGCGCCACTGAGCACAAACCATTCATTTGAATACGCCGCCATCTTGTATAACCAGGGCTTGGATTTAACTGGTTCTATTGCTTTAAACTAGTCAAGCCAGTTTGAGCAATTGTTTATATAAAACAAACAAATGAATACAAATAAATACATACTGCATACTTTTGTATAGCACTTTAGAAACGGGTTTGTTTATGACAAGTACTACCCAAAGAAAAGTAGATTTAGATTTTGGATTTGTATCAATTATTATAAATATTACATTTCTGGAAAAAAAAAAATCTCAATAGCTGGGGAAAATAAAGCGGATGACAACTGTTAGAATTTTTGAACACCAAATCAAATTATATCAAATGATAATAATCTCTTAACATTATTTGGCTTTCACTTTTGTGCAAAAATCTCATTTGACAATTGGAGGTTAAAATTGTTGCTTTCTTGGCAGCCACAGAGAAGGAAATTGGTTCCTTCACACAGGAGTAAGCAGTAATCAAAGGGATGGCCATTATTGGGTTGTTAAAGCTTCCAGATAGAAAACAGATTTAAGTCAGGTGAGTTACCATCTAAAACCACATTGGAAATGTTAATTCAATGGCAATTGTGAAATAGAGAGTGAATGAGAATAATAAGTAAAACTGTATGTAATATTGAGCCAAGAAATGCCCAGATTTGCAATAGTCTCTGCACTGGCTTCCTGTGGCTCAGAGAATAGACTTTAAAACAGCTCTGCTTGTGTACAAGTCTCTCCATGGCCTCGCACCAAAATATATTAGTGACATGTTAGTCCCATATGAACCAGCCCGGACTCTGAGGAGCACAGGGACTGGACTCCTGTTAGTGCCCAGAGTCAGAACTAAACATGGGGAGGCTGCTTTTCAGATTCATGCTGCTAAAATCTGGAACAGTCTTACTGAAGATGTGAGACAGGCCTCCTCGCTGACAATGTTTAAAACCAGGTTAAAAACAATTCTGTTTAGCTGTGCATTCAACTGAGGGATCTTTCTTTTTAATGTACTGTGATTATTTATGACTTGAATGCTTTCTTATTTTGTTCAGCACTTTGAATTGCCTTGTGTATGAATTGTGCTATACAAATAAACTTGCCTTGCCTAGATTTTCAATAGAAAAACAATCTCTTTTTTTAATTCCACCTGCCAATAACAGCTGCAATACAAGCTACACAAACAAAAAATAATTATATATTTTGAAAACTGATTGGTGCTTTTTTGAATTGAAAAGAAAACTGTTGGGGAAACAAAAAAACTACAAAAATGGTTTCTTGAATAGTAAAAAAGGTTCTAATCTGATTTCCGTCATTATCCATTTGTTGCAAAAAAATTTCATAGGGGAGTGTCAAAACTGAGAAAGAATTGGAACATTTTAAAGTACTGGATTAGCAGGAGAAAAAGAGAGAGGCTTTGAATAATTTTGATAGAAGAAATGGTAGAAGTAAAAAGATGCAGGATTCCATAAAAAAGTACTATACAGTAATGCCAATTGTTACAACAATTGTTATGATATTGGCCATTGTTATAATATTGTATGTAAAATATAATTGGTTCATTATCATTGGTCTGGTATGATCAGTATTTGGTCTATTTCTTAGTACATATAGAATATTTGGGTGTGTTCACAGTTACTCCCAAATGAAGTGGACCAATACTGGTGCACACTGGTCCTGTATTTTGAAGCAAATATGTGAGTGTTTTGTTACAGTTAAAACGAACTCTGGTTCACTTGGAACTGGATGTGAACACACCCTTTAAAGAATCAAAGAATCGCGTTTGCAATTTTGGTACCATGATAACACCAGTGGAGACATGTCTATAAAGCATTTGTCATAATGTCATAATTTACTCAAATTAAGTGGCTCAAGCCAATTAATAAAACATATGTTCTGTGTCTATATTCACTACTTTTGACTTTCCTCGTCCTGCTAATCTTCAACTTGTGTGACCTTGCTGCAAAAAGATGATCCGCCATTACGAACACAAGTGGTCCCATTCAGAGGTGATCATCCACATGGAAAGGGTTATACAGGATTAACACGTCTGCAGATACACTGTGTGCCCAATGCTGTTTAGACCCAAGCTTAAAATTACCTGTCAGCTCAGGATGAAAAGAGAGCAAAGCAATATTATTCTAATCACCTCAGCGACTGTCAAAAACACCATTCTGTCACTTTTCTTTACCTTACGTCCCCTCTCTGAGCATTTGGGGCCGGGAAGAAACTGTCAAAATGTCACCAGAGAAAAGCTCCCAAATATTACCCCGGAATTGTAACAATGACAGTGCTACAATGACACATGGGCACTCACCAAAGAATCCACGAATAATTTTGTGCTTGAAAATATGTGCAATTATTTTTCATTTCTAAAAGTCAAGTAGAAGATTGATGGCTTTTGATGCACTCCTATACAACCGTCACAAAGGACTGCAGCACAGCACACAAACTATATAACTCACTTGTAAAGTGCAGTTCAAAGCCTTTACTGGTGTTCTCTGCGTTGCTGATGAACTCCAGCCACATGGAGCTGGAGGTGGAGTTGAGCGTTGTGTCTAGCAGCTCGTTGCCTGTAAACACCCCCAGCAGACGGGCCTCATTACTGCTGCCATCAAAGACCTGGTGGGGAAGAGCAGAGCGAGTGGGAGGAAGAATCAGAAGCTAACATATGCTAACAAGGTTCCCATGCAGCATGCACATGGGGAGGCAACACCGAACACCTCCTCACTTTAACGATGTCATCCTCTTCCAGTCGAAAGTCCCGGGCTCGAAGCTGGATGCCTTTGCCTGGCTGCGTCTGGATGGAGTAGATGCACTCATGGTTGTTGCCATAGTAACCAGGGTAGTTTGGTGAGAGAAGCACTCCTTGCATGCCAGTCACGGATGAGCCGCATTCAGCTAGATAAAAACAGGGAAAGCAGAGGGAGACAGGGAGAGAGAGCAGAATGCATGTAAATTACTATATGTTTGATACTTAAAGGGTACTTATCCATGCCGGTACACACTGAACGATGGGGTGAGAAGTTGCTAACTGTACAAGCATTTTTGAAAGGGCCACTGCCGTAATCACACAGCAATTTGAATGTGATTAACTGCAATTTTAGCTCAATTTGACTTTTAATGTGTTCACTCGAGAAAGTAGCAGCAAAATATCAAGGAAAAAATATACTTTTTCCAAGAAATCTCCCATACTGTGAATGCTTTTAATGCCAGCTTGCTCTTTTTTTGTTCAAGAGATCTAGCATTTCTATCTTTATCTACTGACACGACGACATTACATAAAGTTGTATGGTGATAAGGCAATAAAGATTATTAAAAGTTTGTGATCACCTACCCACACACCTAGGCAGAGGGGAGCTCCACACTCTCCTTCTGCCCCCTAAACACACCACCCTCGCTGGCCCCTCTAGCCTGTACCCTGGGAAACACGAGAAGATCAATACGTCGCCCACTCCATACTGAAGGCCCTTCCTGGTGCTGTAGGGTGGGATTCCAGGGTCCTCACATGGCTCCAAATCATACTCTGAAAACAAGAGAATGACAATAATTACTGATCCGACCTGACTGTTAGAAGATTTCAGATTTTAGTGTTTCATAATTGGGAGAAAATAGATAATACTTTACAATTTAAAAAACAAATAGAATTATGAATTACATTTGAAATTCTGCTTAATTAGTGTAAATGTGTAAAATCTCAGGATTTTGCAAAAAAAAGTCAAACAATATCATAGACATAATAGAATGAAACCCCATTGTAGTGCTGGAAGCTTTATTATCATGCATTTTGGAACTGGAAATTAAATCATCCATCCATCCATTTTCTACCCTTTAATCCATTTCTGGGTCAGGGGGGTGGCAGTCAGAGATGCCACCCAAGTCTCATAGCACCAGCCCCTCACTGACCCTCTGCAGGTGGTGAGTCCACAGGAGGACGGCTGCTCTCTGAGTGTGAGCATAGCCTTGATCTTTCAGTGGGGGCTTTGGGCAAAGTGGGGTTAAGTGTCTTGCCCAAGGACACAACAACAGCAGTCATCAGTGGGAGTCGGTGGAGAAGGTGTAGAGGCGGGAATTGAACCCACGACCTTCTGGTCTACCAACTGAGCTACTGTCGCCCCAGGAAATCAAATCATTTTGGTAAAATAATTGCAATTAAAATGGAAAACATTTTGCAAATAGAATCTCTAATGATTCACACTCCATGATGAGCGGTCTGATGTCATGCAGAGTGATGATCAAAATGTGGACTTTTGCTTGTTTAAAATAATGGTGATGGCTAACAAAAGTAATTGTTTGAACGTGTAATCAATGGAGAAAAAAATTAAACTTTTAATTTAATTTAATTTTGTAGTAACCCACAGATTGTATGTTGTATTTTGAAAAATCATAAAGAAAGAAAAAAGGAAAGTGAAAACCCTAAACTAAACCCCATTGTTCATGTTTCAAGCTGGACAGGCTCCGATTTATCTTCAAGGTGATATTGTCACATTCTCCCAGTCTTTCCTATACTGTGATAGTCTGATGGCAGGTAATCCTGAACTGTCAATTATTCCATGTCACACTGGAATCCAGCTGCCTCCGTCCAGTCTATGTAACATGGTTGTTTTCACCATTTTAAAGGCTCTCACCTGAAAATGTGATGTTGAATCCCTCATAGGAAACAGAAAAGTCTGAAAGAAATCGGATCTGTGCAGTGTAGTTCCCAAAAAGCCCTGCACTTAGAGGTGGAGGAAGAGTAGATCCTGTAAGTCTCCAGAGCGGCTGAGAGAAGCTGCTGTTTTCTGTCACCAACAAATGGTCATGGGGACTCTCAAGATGGAATGTGTGGAAGGTGAACTGGACCCCTGAAGGACACCGGAAAAAAAGGGCATCAGAGTACACATGACAATTCGATGCCAATCACTAGTAGTCAAGAATAGAGCAAATATTAATTTGCAGCATATGTTTATTTGACACAATTAGCAAAGAGAAATATCTACGACAATATGCTAACTGTTTTTTTTTTTTTGTCTAATAAATCCAAATTTTGTTGCCAGAATCTTCCTGTCTGTGACACATGTAGCTCCTGAAGCACTAAAACAAGGATAAAGGACAAGACCGGCAAAATTTCAGCTAACACACTGACAACCCAAATGATAGTCTGAATTGTTTTCTTTTAATCTAGAATAATCAAGAATTATCACTTTTCAGAAAACGCCCAAATATAAATTGTTCATGTGAGCGATTATTTGGGGACAGAAAACTAATCAGATAGAGAGTAAGAAAGTCTGTGTTATACAACTAGAGCTCTTTTGCGGTATTATAATACATGTATTATAATTTTTAACTAATGAGCTGGACTACAGTAATAAAAAGAAAGAAAAGATAATAATAAACAAAAATAATAAGAAAAAAAAAAAAACTATATTGGTGCTGATAATCACAACCCCTAGGCAAAAAACTGAACAGAAGTTTAAGGGGCAATATTCTGAGATCCATATTTAACAAGCCAAACAGAATTTGTGCCTCATTTTCCCGGCTTCATGCTTGTTAATCATCAAACACGTAATACTGATGCAAGAAGAGCGTTCTCAAATAAAACCGTGTCAATTTGATGTTAGCTCTTCACCAGACGAAGACTTGACTGCAGTTAAAATCCCTGTGTGCTCTTGCCCTAGGCCAACCTCTCAGCATATTAGTCTTACAGAGAGAGTTTGTTCCGTGATATAAAAAAAGGCCATTCAGTGGGGGAAATGACAACGAAGAGGAAATTGGGTCTGAATGCCAAACGTGTTGACAGAGACTTTCATTTCTAACCTTTTCCATGGGAGGTCTCGATTATCCAGGTGCAGTTCAAGTTGTGAGGGTAGAAGTCTGGAAAGCCTGGCGACAGGATGGTGCCGGAGTTTCCCTGGATGTAACCGCCACATAATGCTGTGAGGAAGATTTGGGGGGAATGATTAAAGGAATGGAAATACAAAACATGCACACCCAAATGCTATAGGGGTTCCCGTTAGGTACACATCCCTTCACAATACTGGTAGGATGTGCTTTTCTACTGTCAGATTACATTGACCTAGTTTCTGAGCTCTGTCTAATTAGAAAGGCAACTTTCTGGGGAAAAAATCTCTCTAGTTTGAGGAAGTGTTTTTTTGGATCAGTACAATAATTTGATGATATATGGCGGTGTAAACCTAAAGTGGTTTAAGTGAATCTCCCATGGGGATATATAGAGGGACTCGCACTTTCTTCTTTTTCAAAACAAGAATGCAAACTTTAGATGGTTGAAAAGATTACTAGGTTCAAAAAGCAGCATAGATATGATTGTATTAGGTGTTAAATATCAAAATAAACTGTAAAATATTCAACAAAGAACAAATACATATAATTTTGTATACATATAGTTGTATAGTGATTTTCGTTCTTTTTTTTACACAAATACATAACAGCAGCAATAAAATGATGCAACATTAGCGTGATATTCTCACATCCCACTCCTCACATCTCCTCTTTCTACCAACAACACACAATGTCTTTGATTTGATCCCGGTTGAGAGTAAATAAAAAACCTAGCAGGCTGTTAGTTCGTTTTCTAGGTCAACCTTTTGGAACGTACCATCACAACTCGGGAGGGGGCGACTCCACTGAAAATTGGGTTCACACTCCAAAGGCTCCGCGTCACTGAGTGTGTATCCAGCCTCACAACTAAACGTCACCAGAGCACCCACATAAAAGTCGTTTCCGTGTCTCTGTCCGTTCACGGGAATCCCAGGGTCCACGCAGTGATCCGACTGTAACTGAAGCGCTAAACAAGTAAAAGCAACAACGTGAGAAATTGTTCAAACAATTGTGGAAACATAAAACATTGCTACCTATGTTTCTCATGCAAACTTTCCTATTTATGTGGAGAAAAAAACTCTTACTTTCATATCGTATGCGAAAACCAATGTCCGAGTGGCTCTTGTCAGTGGAAAATTGAAGGTATATGAAGTTGGAGGTGCTTATTAGGAACTGTGGAACTTGGGTCCCCTGGTAGCTTCCAATGAGAGGTGAGGAGGGAAAGCGTCCATCTCGCACTTCCAGAACATCATAGTTGACTTCAGTGCGAAACCTAAAAGGATTTCACAGATCATAAGAATTCTATATTATTGATTGTTTTAGTATGATTTAGTCATTGTCGTATTTAGTTGTCTATGTCTAAATAAAAGTGACCAAAAAAGATTAACTCACTAATTAGCCATTAGACCATTAGTTAGTAAATTATGCCAAATAAAACTTTGACTAAATGAAGTGCACATAATAAAAGATAAGCCTTTATTGGCTCCAGACGGAGACATTTGTTTTGAGCTTCAGATATTTTTTTATTAAAATATAAACAACAAATTTGCAGATAATTGAAAAAGAAAGGGGCAACAAAATGACTCAATCATTCCTCTAAATTAAAAGAGCATTTTTGTTGACTAAAACTATACTGAATCTTAACTGAAACAACAAAAAACATATACATGAATTCAAATATTCATGAACTTGACTATTGCTTGGTTATAAATGATCCATTCAACACATACATATCGCCACATGTATGCAAAACATATTGTATAGATAGATAGATAGATTATTTATTGATCCCCCATAGGAGAAATTCAGGTGTCCAGAAGAAGCAAAAAAAACCACACTAAAAAAAACCTAAATTATAAAACAATATATATATATAATTTGCTAGGAAATTGCTTCTAACACTTCCATCACCTGGAAACAAACAGGTGATGGGGGATCTGTTAAGTTTCTTAATTACATGGAGAACTGGATTTGTGTCAAATATATTGAACACATCTGCGTTTATGGACCAACATTGGCTCCATCATATTCCAGTAAGGATATTTTACACATAGACCAGATTAATTTAAGAGCCTTAGTTCAAAACCTGCAGTCACCAGTACATTAAAGCAGCTCTTCCATAAGGTTTCCTACATGTTTAAAATGAGTAAAATACGTATCGCTGTCTGCTGTTGTTGCTAAACTGTGCCCTGAGTAGGAGTAAGGTATGATTAAAGAGTTCATACTTATTTTGTTCAGTACCAGCTGTCACAATGTAATGACACACATTTCTGTGACCAGGATTTGTATTATTTTTTGAGTGAATAATGCAGAAAGAAGTCAAAAGAAATGTCTGAGAATACTGAAAACTGTGCTTCAACATTTTCCAGGATATTTATGTGACTTTTGGGGCCAAAAACAAATATAAAATTATTTCAGAATATTTTCCGTTGTTTCATTGATTTCACAAATCTAATCCTTGAACTGAAACTCTATTTTGTTTTGGTCTATACTTCTATATTTATATTGTATATTTCTGTGTAAAATAAATACATTGATTTATGTCTCTCATGAGAATAGGTTTGCACCACTCGGGGGCCTTGATATAAGGTAGAACCTTCCCCTCACCTCTCTCCATCTCACACATCATTAGCTTTCCTGACATTTCCCTGTTCACCTTGACAAGCCCTCTCTACTTTCTCTGTCCCAGCACCTGCATAGTCATAGCCAGCCCTTCCTGTTTTCAATTTGCATGAACATAATCTCATATCTTCAAATATCCCCATGGAAAAGAAGTATGCAATGAAGAATCAAGTGCCTGAGAAGTCTTTATATAAAACATAAGGTGACTCTTGTTGTTCATGTGAGGCATTAACCACAGGGGGACAAGGCGACACAGAGTCAAGGAAAGCGCTGTAGTAACAGTAGTATAGCAGCGGAATTGTAACTCACTTGTCGAAGATGATCTTGATTGGGTAGCCTGGTGGAGCCTCAATAATCCATTCACAGTTAAGAGCCTCCTTATAGAGCTCAGGCCAGCCTGGAGAGAGGATGATTCCACTGGGAGCCTTCAGATCACCTCCACAAGGGGCTGGAAGAAAAACAGGATATGGATTTATTTTATTAATATTATTATGTTAATTTGATTATTTATCAATTATTTATTTCAAACTTGTGTACGTAAAAAGCAGGAAACAGAATAAGATCCTTATTCTGTGGGGCACGATGGCTGAGTGGACAGTACTCTCGCTTCTCAGCAAGAAGGTCCTGGGTTCGAAACCCGGTCAAAACAGGGCTTTTCTGAGTGGAGTTTGTATGTTCTCCCCTGTGTCTGCGTAAGTTTAAAAAACATGCTAGTTAAAAAAAAACAAAAAAACAAATACACTAAAGAACATTTCTGGCATGTTCCTCGTGTATGGCGACCTCGCTCCCATCTCTGTGTTGAGTGAGAGACAAATGCCCATCACAAAGCTTTGTGACTCTGGTCTTTGAAAGGCATTATGTACATAAAGGGCGGCAAGGTCCTGGGTTTGAATCCCGGTCAGAACAGGGTCTTTCTGAGTGGAGTTTGCATGTTCTCCCCGTGCCTGCACAGGTTTCCTCCGGGTACCCCGGTTTTCCTTACCACTAAAAACATGCTCACTATTTTAAATCCTCCACCTGACCAAGCCAAGCATCAACATCTGGAGATGGGTTCCCGGGCGCTGTACTACAGCGACCACTGCTCCTGACGTAAGCCTTAGCGGCATCAGGATGGGTCAAATGCAGAGGATTGAATTGCCCTACGGGGATTAATAAAGTGCACCTTTACCTTTACCTTTAAAGATTACTTACCTACTTATTTGGCTCCAAACTCTCTCACTGATTAAACCCATGCACACACACAAACACAGAACCAAACACTCTCTGACCATACACGTTTCTTTCGTCTTGACTTTCGTGGTTCAGGGAGAATCTTACTTTTATGTATTTTCTCTACTTATATTGTATGAAAACAATGGATGAGGAAAGAGACATGGGAAATTAGTTGTCGTTTACACAAGATTTCCTCCACTATTAAATCTGCATTCAAATTCAGTTTTCCATCTGTATTTTTTATTTGAAGGCTTTATCTCATGCAAATTAATGACAGCAAACTTCAAGGTTAAACACCTCCCTTGGGAACGAGCATGTGATGAGATTTTTTTTTGTTGTTTTCCAAATATCTATCCCCACCGTCCAAAAGACCAGTGCATTAACTACCAAACAACTTAAGTGAGGGGACCCATTTGATTGATTATAGCAAAGACCCTCAGGCCTATCGACCCCCTGTTAGCGCTCACTTTGCCATGCATCCCTTTAACGGTCTATCCCTAACCAGAACAAGGAAAGGGCTTATAGCTGCTGTGCCAAGTGGCCCGACTCGCTTTGAAGTGAAATGATTTAATCAGCCAACTCAGCATACTGAAGGACATCTATAAAATGCATTACGCTACAAACGCACAAGGATGATAGATGGTCTCGAAGGAATACTGAGCGGTGGTGGCACACTGGGGAAAAGTGACATAGTTTAATAGTGGTCTCCCTTTTGCCATGTCGTGAATGGGGGGAAGCGATTATGTCTATAAGAATCCTACTCTTGTCTGTCTTTAATGTGGCGAATGAAATGTAGCTACTTAACACTGGAGCATTGTCTTAGCCTCAGCACCTCTGTCAGCCTTTCCCATTAACAGTGTAGGGTCTCTTATAATTAAACATGGAGGTGATGCAGTGATTAGCAAGAAGGTCCTGGGTTAGATTCTACCTGCAGGCCTTTCAGTGTGAAGGTTGCCTGTTCTCCCCATGTCTGAGTAGGTTTCCTCCAGGTTCTCCGGTTTTGGCTACCTCTAAAAATATGTGAAATAACACCCTCCCTGGCCCCACCTTCTGCCCTCTCTCTCTAGGTCCAAAACTTCTCTGAAAAAGAGATTCTGCCATTTCAGTGGGACTTTCCTAGTTAGATAAAGGTCAATAAATATATATAAAGCCCAAGGACATTCAGATAAAATATGTCTTCTTGTTTTATGTTTGTATTATGATTCATGAGAGCCAAGACAATTTAGATCAATCTTACTACATGGCAAAGGATTGAACTTGTTTGCTACACCTTATTATGGTACATTTACGAAGGGAAGTCATTACAAATGAATTATGAATTGATGTTTCTAGCCCGATATTATTCATGTAAGAAAAGGGAAGTGTAGAAACGCTTTTAGATTCTCATAGCTCACCTTCACAGCGAGGTACTGCATTGTCCCAGACCACGTTTCCGTCTTTGAGGATACAGGAGATGGTCTGAGAGCCATGAGTCTTCACAAAGCCCTCCTCACACACAAAGGAGATCGAGCTGCCCAGCTGAAGGCTCTCTCCAAAACGTTTCCCATTAACCGGCACTCCTGGGTCTGGACACTCATTGTGACGAAATGCTGTGTAAAAAGTAGGGTAAAGAGATAAATGAAAACACCATTTTCATTGATATCATGATGATTTTTTTAGGATAGAAAGGGAAATGTAGAATGTAGTTGCTATGGGACTAAATTTACAACATCCATGGTCACTATCTCCCCTTCCCAACCTGAGACCTCCCTCAATGATATGCCTGCATTTCAGCTCAGCGGGCACAGTTACACCCATGTTTTCATCAGCATCACCTACATTTAAACAGTGCCTCACAGTCTCTGCCTCAAGCTGCTGTTTGTGCAGCAACCTGCCTGCTCCCCATCACTACCTCAACAATTGAGGAATCACTTATTGATCTGCAGTTCTCATGGTGAGGACATCGAGAGAGATCCAGCACGAGCTCCAGTGGAGGATCAGGAGGGCCAAGAAGGACTATGGGAAAAAGCTGGAGCAGAAGCTGGCCCAGGGTAACGCCTGCGACGTGTGGAGAGGCCTAAAGAACATCTCGGCTTTGGACAGAGTGCCAGAGGAACAGCGGATGGAGACCAGCACCGGGCGGATGAATTTAACCAGTACTTCAACCGGTTTGATTCTCCCCCCTCCCCATCTGCCCCCCCTTCCGCCCCCACCTCTTCACACGTCCCCAGCCCAGTGGACACCGCCCAGTGGACACTGCCTCCGGCTGCCCCGGGCCCTCCTGCCCCCGAATCCCCAGCCCCCACCTCGGACAGTACACCCCGGTCCCCCCCCCTCTCCATCACACCGGACCAGGTGAGGAGTCAGCTCCAGCGCCTGAAGCTGAGGAAATCCGCAGGACCGGACGGGATCAGTCCCAGGCTGCTGAGGACCTGTGCAGACCAGCTCTCTGGGGTCCTCAGCTACATGTACAACCTGAGCCTCAGCCTGGAGAAGGTCCCTGTCCTGTGGAAGACCTCCTGTGTGATCCCGGTTCCAAAAACAGCACACGCCAAGGAACCGGCTCACTACAGACCCGTCGCACTGACCTCCCACCTGATGAAGACCATGGAGCGGCTCATCCTCACCCATCTCCGCTCCGTGGTCAGCCCCACCCTGGACCCGCTGCAGTTTGCCTACAGACCCAACATCGGAGTAGAGGACGCCGTCCTCTACTTACTGCAGCGGACGCTCTCCCACCTGGAGCCCGCCGGGAGCGCTGTGAGGGTCATGTTTTTCGACTTCTCCAGCGCTTTCAATACCATCAGGCCGGCACTGCTGCAGGGGAAGATGGAGGACGCGGGAGTGGACAGTAGCCTCACTGCATGGACCATCAACTACCTCTCAGACCGACCACAGTACGTGCGGCTGCGCAGCTGTGAGTCTGAGGTGGTAGTCTGCAGCACTGGGGCCCCTCAGGGCACTGTCCTCTCACCGTTTCTCTTCACCATCTACACCTCAGACTTCACACACGACACACACAGCTGTCACCTGCAGAAGTTCTCCGACGACTCCGCCATCGTGGGCTGTGTGTCTGAGGGGAACGAACTGGAATATCGGTCGGTTATCAAGGACTTTGTCGACTGGTGTGAGTGCAACCACTTGTGCTTGAACACCAGTAAGACCAAGGAGATGATCATCGACTTCAGGAAAAAACCACTTTCCCACACGCTGCTGAACATCCAGGGGGAGGACATTGAGCTGGTGGACAGCTTCAAGTACCTGGGTGTTCACATTAACAATAAACTGGACTGGTCCCATAATACAAACGCCCTGCACAAGAAGGGCCAAAGTCTCCTCTTCCTTCTGAGGAGGCTGAGGTCCTTCGGAGTGAGCAGGCCTCTGCTCAGGACTTTTTATGACTCTGTGGTAGCTTCTGCCATTTACTACGCTGCCATGTGCTGGGCCCCGGGCAGCACAGAGCGGGACAGAAACAGACTGAACAAGCTGGTTAGGAGGGCCAGCTCCACTCTGGGCTGCTCCCTGGACTCTGTGGAGGAGGTGAGGGACAGGAGGGTGCTAGCCAAAGCCACCTCCATCATGAACAACACCTCCCACCCACTGCACAGGACTGTAGAGGAGCTGAGGAGCTCCTTCAGTGGAAGACTGAGGCACCCTCAGTGTAGGAAGGAGCGCTACCGCAGGGCCTTTATCCCCACCGCTGTCAGACTGTACAATAAGTCACTTTAAATGATCACTGTGTGAAAACCTGCACTACTATTGACACTTGTCACTTTTGTTGTACATAATTATTGTCACTTTTATTGTACATATATATCCTGCATGTAACATGTTTGCACATTTCCTCCTTTTGCACAATCTGAGTGTCTCTATCCATGCCAAATGTGACATGTAAATTTCTCCTCTGTGAGATAAATAAAGCTTATCTTATCTTATCTTGTCAGTTCCCACCAACACCAACAAGGTCTACACCCCAGCGGATTGCATCCTCATAATATCTTTTCCATTACCTCCACGTCATGCACTTTTTCCACCAAATCATGGAGTAGCATGTAGTCAGTGTCTAATCATGTTAAACAGTATACTTAATGCGTATATAACTTCATACACACCATCTAATCACATGGATTGAATTGTTGTACAGAGGCTCAAGCACAGACGAGGCAAATGTATTATTCATTTATTGATTTTTTTTATGTTAAATTGATACGTTTCCAGCCACATAACTGAAGCATATGTATGGTTTCATCACCTCGCCTCTCCCTAGTCCCTCTGCTGCCACATGTAGTGAGCGTGTTGATTAATCCCTTTTTAATCATTGAACCAAAGCAGCTTGAACCAACTCATCAATCAAAATCAGCTTATTTATAAAATAATACCTTAAACACAACTTGACATGTCCTTAATTAACATAAAATATGGAAGCTTAGTCTAGCATACCTCCAAAAAAACATCCCTACCAAAGAACTGGTCTTAGGAACTACCCGTCAACTCCAATTAACTGCTTTTTGACATTCATTTACCATGCTGCTTTGGCTATTTATTTATTCATCCGAGTTGCTAATTGATGCATTAGTCACCATGTGTTCTCCACAATGTGGCTAGAGCGCGGCACCTGGGCTGGATTGACGACATGTCTGCAAATGAGCTTAAGAGCTGCTTTATCGCATGCTTAAAAGTAACTCACTGCCCCCAATTTTAGGTGCAGACTTTATTAAGACAAACATCCTAATGTCTACTTAGGCCTTCCTCTGTGGCTTTGCAATAAAAGAAGTTGCCAAGATAATGACTGTGCTACTTTGTATTGTGCGTGTGTATTTAAAGGGCTAAGAGGATATGGTTGGAAGCCAAAAAACTAGAAATAATAGATTTTACAGATCCTGTTTGGAGTGGAAGTAAATGGTTTAAGGTCTCTCAAGTATCATTAATGACTTATTACTCAAAATAATCCTAGATGAAACATAAAGCTCTCACAAACTTCTTTTTGAAAATAATAGCGTAAATGAAAGAAAAATACATGTTTTGTTTTATATCATGTATAATAATGTTACAAGCCCATTTTTTTTTACTTTGTGAAACTAATATATGACACTCATTACATATAAAGAAAGGTATATCAACCCTGCGTCATAATGTTTATAATTGGCTTTGAAAAAGATTAGATTTGGACTGTAAGCCATACTAACCAACATTATAACAAACAAACAAACAAAAGCTTGGCATATGCCACTGTGTATGTACTGAGTCTGAGATACATTATCATCCCGGTCGGACCAGGGCCTTTCTGAGTGGAGTTTGCATGTTCTCCCCGTGTCTGCGTAGGTTTCCTCCGGGTACTCCGGTTTCCCCTACCACTAAAAATATGTCCAATAGTTCTGGCATGTGCCTCCTGTACTGGCCCCGCTCCCATCTCTGTGTGGAGTGAGAGACAAGTGCCCAAAAAAAAAAAATAACAATTGTAAACCGCTTTGAGACTCAGCTCTGCAGTGAAAAGGCGGTATATAAATAATTACATAGATACATAGATAGATAGATCATATAATGGGTTCACATTTTTGCATTGAATTATAAAAATAAATGAACTTTTGCACAATATTCTAATTACCTAAGTTTCACTTGTATTTGTGCCCGACTGATTGTGGCTTTCAAAGCAATATGATGTGAAAGAATGTTAGGGCCAAGGCCATTACACATGAGAAAAGATTGCAGTAATATGGCCACTGATTGTCCCCGGTGTGAGTAAAATGAGTTTACCTGCAGCAGACATAGCACCCAGAATCGCGTCACAGTCTCAAAAACCCATTTGGAGTTTCCTCAGAAGTCAGCACTGGCCCAGAATAGAACATAATGAGCACTGCCGCAAATGTTTCTGCCAGGTAAAAGAGCGAGTCTTTGTTTGGCTTTTATTTAGATGTCAAAACTCGCTTTAGACTAAAAAGGACAGCTTTTGTCATTTATGTCACAGGCATTGCAATGTGTGTGTAAAGAAAAGTGTCACCCATGGGTGCTGGAGTGTGCGGGTGACAAGCACATTGATACTGGGGATGATTCACGAGGCAGTACACACACAAATAGCTGACATATACAGTGCATTTACAGACGAAAATATATGTAGTTGTGGCATGCTATCAGATGTACTTTGGACAGAACATTTCCTACGTACTTGTAAAGGTGATGTTGAATCCTCTGTCAGTGTACGTGTGGTCCGTTAGAAACTCGAGTCGTGCCACGTGTCCACTGGTGGTTATGGGAGGAGGGACTACATCTCCAGAAAAGGTGCCCAAGATAGGGGACTCAGCCTGCGAATCAGAGCAAAACACAATCTTCATCTCTCCTCCGGGTCCTGTCTTGTGTGTACGGATGCAGGCGGCTCCCTCCTCCTGGTGCAGACGGCTCCTTAGTTGGGGGTTCCTCAGTTGGCTTCACCTGCACTCAGCCTCAGTCTTTACGGTTAAATCTATTGTGGTGTCTGAGTAGATGGATGTGTGACTGAGCACTGTTGGTTTTGCAGTCGGCCTGTTCTGTTAGGTTGATGGGTCAATGGGCATGTGGGATTGTGTGATCGTTTTTAATGACCACTTTGTATTACGGCATTTTTATGAAACACATTAAGAATAAAGTAAAGATAAAGTAGTAGCAGTAGTACATGAGTGCCGTCTGGGCATTGCTGGAACGCAGTTTCCACGCGCAGAAGACACATTCTCTAAATTTCATAGGCTAGGGGTATTCAGACTAGAGGTCCTTGACTGCGGTGGCGCCCGGCAGAAGTAGCAGAAGTGCTTTGATGCTAACGGAGTTAAGCTAGCAGCTTTTTGTGTAAAGTTCTTCTCCTAGAAGGCAGCTCTGCAGTAGGGTTTAATCCCGGGACACGGGATTCCGGGAAATCTGATCAAAACTATTTCCCAATTCCCGGGAAATTTTATGACGGGAAACGGGAAATGAAAGTTAAAAAAAAAATTCAGTGCGCTCCTATTATAGAGCACGTTTATTGTTGTTCAAAGTTCAAACATATTTCATTTACAATCAACATGTCTACAGCTGAGAGGATGGCTCATATTTTGTGTTTTTGACAACAAATATGGGTCTTAATCGCGCTAAATCACGACTTGTAATGAGGCCAGCCTCAGGGTACGGGGCGCATGTGAGCCCAGAATTCGGCTACATCCAATTCTATCAGAGAGCTCCTTTCTTTTTTTCCATCTGCTAAGGGCAGCAACAGGTTTGGCTAACATACATATAACACATTTTAAGATAATATAAAATGCATTTAGGGTAATGTTCTGCTTCCAATGACGATAGGAATGATAAGGAAGAGAGGAGAAGGGTAAGAAGGTTGATATTAGAAATTGGATGCGCCCGAGAGCCGGCTGCAGCGAAAACACAGAGGAGTTTATGGAGGTGGCACCCGTTTTGTTTTACGCTTTAAAACTCTTTGGGCTTATTTCCAAATGGGGGATTACATATCTGCGCTCAAACTATTATCTGGACTTAAACATGAAACTGATCTGAACCGAAGTGGTCTGTGCTGTTCATTAATAACTAAGGTAAGACCCATAACACAATTGGAAATGTGCCTTTTACGAACTTTTGCGTTTTATATAAACAAACAATGCGGGCCATGGAAAACATTCTGCTGTAGCCAAACTAATTGTGAATAAGCCACTTTGTAGGTTCTGTTGATTTATATGATATATGTTCATCTGATTGGGCTGAAGTCAGTGCCTCCAAACCACACGTCACTGGTCGACAAGTGGATTGCGCAGACATTTAGAATCTCATAATAGTGAAATTCCTGAAGAAAGCCCATTAACAAAACGTATGAAAACGCTATGGCTACTTTAGCAAAGCTAGCAAGTCGCTTGGTGAAACACTAGTGGAGATGGCAGCTTTTGTTGGATTATATATTTGAGTGATATCATACATTAATAGGGCTAAAAACAACAACTACAAACAACAGCTATTTCCCGGGCTTTCCCGGGAAAGGCGTCGTCTTTTCCCGGGATTTGATACGTCTCATTTTTGGGAAAAATATTAAACCCTACTCTGCAGCCTCTCTGTGTCCAGAGACCTTCCAGAGACTTTATATTACCGCAGTATGTGTTCACGGAGGTGCGCTATAAGATTATTTTATTATTAGACGGTACTTCCACATCGGCGAACATGCTAGCTGGGCTAGATGCTAGCTGTGCTAGTTTTGTCACTGGAGAATGACAACTCGGGCTGGAGGCATGTTCACAAGCACACACAAAAAGACAGACAGTAGTCTTAAGGGGGACGGAAAGTGTCCGAGACTAAGATGGTATTTGTTATTTGTGAATGAAGATGATTTTTTCAGTAAGCTAGGCCTATTCAATTCAATTCAATTCATTCTTTATTAAGAACAAAGAAAAACTGGTTCTTAAATAAAAAATAATAAAAAAACAACATAACTGTTTAATTCTAAATGTCTATTTTCACTATTTATTTTTTGCTGGAAAAGCACTCTCTTTTTAGCTTAAAGCCCTCAAATTACATTGGTTACTGTATTTTGGGTGAACATTTTATTTGTTTTATTGAATGCTAAACATCCAATGTTATTTTTATCTGAAAGAAGAATAATAAGATGCACTTTTTTCAGTAAGCTAGATGTGTTTTCAAGGCTTCAAGGTTTTATGCTACCTCTGACTAAGAATGTCTTATTTTTGAATTTTAAGAGCAATAAATATATTTTGTTAAGGAATAAATTCAGATATGTAAATATTATCTCCAATTAATGGGGAGATAATCAATAATCGGATCAAATCGAAATCGAATCGGACTTTTAAAAAAAAAAAGAATTGTTAGATCAATCGATGCATCGAAAAAATAATGGCTAGATTAATCGTTTAAAAAATAATTGTTGATCCCAGCCCTAATGTATATCCATTCATCAATTCTTTAAAGTCCTTGTGAACCTTTTCTATATTTAAAATGTGTTTACATATTCATGACATTTTATTGACCTAACAGTTCCACTTGCTTATTGCTGAACCCTTTTTCATGATACAATAGCAAAGTGCTGAGGCTAATGGTACTGTAAATAAAATAGGCCCAGATGGGAGTGAAAAAACAAACAGCTTGTGTTTTGTTGACGACTGCTGGACAATGTTGTCATTTTAACTTATTTCAACTTATTCTTAAGTTATTTGAATTTGAAATTTAAATCAGATAGGGATTTATCCCTTTATGTATTAATTGAATACAATGTTTAGAAGTGTAAACATCCCAGGTATCCACCTGTTTTTTTCCCAGGGGCTGGGGTCAGAAAGAGCTGTATAAATATTACAATACCTGTTGAAAATATGTTTTTTTAACAAACATTATAACAACAGAAGTCTTTTTCTCCCACACACTGTTCACTCATTTCTCAGTTTGTTTTCATTGAAGAGTCCTATATGTATCAGTCCACATTATTGCACACATCAGACTTTTGCACAGATAAAGGAAAATGGCTTTAAATAGTTTGGGCTCATTGATATAAAGTGGATGCCTACCTTTCCACCATCTTTTAAGGAAAGGAAGTCGAACTGTTTCTCCATGCTCAGGTCGTTGAAGGCCAAGTTGATCCGGCTCTCAGGGTTTGCTATGATCAGCCACACACAGTGCATGTTGTTCCCATACTCCTGAGGGTAGTTAGGGGACAACAGAGCCCCAGACGGAGTGGTGAAGTTGAAGAAACAGGAGACTGCAAGAAAATAAATAGAATTGGTAAACCCTGAGCTGAAATGTACACTGCAATTGTAGTGTTATTGTTGCCTTTCAGAAGCAAAGTGTGTTTTTTGTTTTTTGTTTTTTTATTGGATCAACAGTTTTAGGAGTTTTTACATAAAGTACCCCCTAAGAAAATACTTGACCGACAAAGACCCTTCCAATTTGGTCGTTTGAATACAAAAACCGTCTAAACTAAAAGGATGTTTTCTGAGTCTACATCTGGTGTTTTATATTACTTCTGAATGAGTAATTCACAAAGGTGAAGAATATGTGAACCAACAGAAAGTTAATGTGTACAGACCCACAAAGCAAAGACAGTATGAGATTATTACTATAAGAAGCACATGCATTGAAGAGGACAATTATCTCTGCCCTTGAGGTAAGTAAGTCCCTTGATACATAACTAATCTAATAACATCCCACTTGTCAAGGATTTATGATACATTTTCAATGACATAATTTCTTTGAGGTAAACAATTAACTACATATTTAAGTAACCTTGCATAAAAGGTGTTTGGAACTCTCCAAACTATACTACCTATACACATTGATATCGGACGGACATTGCAAATTAGCCCTGGCTATGAAAGTTGTAGTGTTTCACATATTGATTGTGTACACTTGTCCCTACCAACTAAATTAAAAATAAATGTAAAAAATAAAATATGACTTCCGGACAACATAAGAAGAATTAAGAATCAATGTAATAAATGTTGTGGAGAGGTTGATCTCTGGAATGGATGCACACTGGAACTTAAATCATGTATTTCACATAACAAACATGTTTAAACTATCATTCTGGATAGCTACATGACCTCAGAATCTTAACATTTACAGAATAAAACTGCTTCTGTAAACTGTAATGTAAACATTGGCTTATACAAATGACACCTTTTCAGTCTTTCTGCTGTAAAGTTACTGTTTGCACATAAATAAATCCTCATCCAATTAGAAAGTCTACTCATTCAAGCCTGCCTTTACATCCGATCAAGAGACACCCAAGTATGCAGAAGAGTAGTTCATTTTAATAAATCAAGCACATTTATTTTGGTCTTAAAGAACAACTCTTTGTACACGACAAAGAGAAGGAGGCATTTGTAAAAGGTGCATAATTTCTATTCAAAACACAAAACAAAGCCTCTAATGACACTTCTGGAGACGTCCCAGATCTCATTACAATAATTGCGCACAGTGGCAAAGACAAAACAAACCTGCATTGTGTCCACCCAAAATAGTTTTTTCAAAGTGAACTACAAACCCACATATCGCTGAAATCTCTCCATCATTCAGCTTTACGATGTTTATCTATGGCCGCTATTGTCCATCTAATTATATTATCAATCATACAGGCGCAAGGATGATGTGCCTCGTCAGCTGGCTTTCCCGTTTACCATCAGCATCTAAGGCTGTGTTTGTCTTTCATGCCGTTAATTGGCTAATATGCCCTCCTATTGTTTTCAAATCCACAGCCTCTGCTCGGCAAACTGTAGGAATAATCTGACCATTTATTATGCAGCACGCCCGGCGCTCATCGGCACAAACACATAATCAGGAGGCGGTGTGCGTATACAGTGGTGCACTCAGGCGTACTGTAAAAGATGAGTATTCTCAATGAGATCTGGAGAAAAGGCTGAGTGATGTATGATTAATGTCGGTAATCTTTGCAGGCATGAACGAACACAGATAAAAATGCCAATACCATGAAAGAGCAAAGTAGGTCAAACATAAACTGTTTTTACATAATATGGAGATTATCAAAACAGGAGAAGAAGGCGATGGTCGTGGTGGGGATATGAATAATGATTAGGGCATTAACGCAAACCGAAATCAGCCCCGCGGCCTCCTATGTGTCATGGTGTGGATTTTGTTATTTTGGACTTTGATTTATTTTGACTGTTCTCTGTGGTTTGGTTTTAGTTTGACTGTCCTGTTTTCCCCTGTCTTGATTGTCTGTCCCGCCCTGATGTGTTTCACCTGTGTCTGTGTCTATATGTACCCGGTGCTTCTCTCCTCTTGTTGCTGGTCCTATGTCTTGTCAACATTTGTTCTGTCCTGTTCCTGATTATGTGTTCCCTGTGCTTTTGGGAACACATTAAATTCCTTTTATTTTGGCATCCCTGCATTTTGGGTCCTCATTCAAATCACCACGTGACACTATCTTTTTCGCTTCAAAAGACGTGTGCGCTGTATCAAGGATGTAAGATACAGTAGGCGTTGGAGAAAAGTCACGGTCACTGCTGATTACTCGTTCGTCAGTAATCACAACTATCTCCAGGTCACAGGTTATAGTTATTTCCACTAAGCGTGATAGCCATATGTACAGGGTACACTTGAACACATAAAAAAAGAGTAGTTTTTATTTGATAATTCAAGTCATTTCTACTATGATCAATAGTTGCTAGTTATACACTGTCAAAAGCAACTATAAAAGAATGCATTTACTGTAGCCTTTACTAGACGGTCCAAATGTTCTGTAGTGTATATAGGATTGGAAAAATGGGCTTGTGAGTTAAGGTTTTGCTCCCATGCACTTATATTGAAAAGTACTCACTCACACTCACTTAAAAAAAATATGCGGTTGACCTATCTACATGATCCTGGTGTTTTTTTGTCTTTGTGAATCTAAATGTGTCCACTATAATCTAACCACACCCAAATTCGGCTTTGATTTTTGAGTAGCGCAAGCGGAAACAGAACGTTTCTAATTTGGTCTTTGGTTGCTGGGTTGCTTCTTGCATATTTGTCTCCAGATTCCCAACCATGGAGCATGTTTGAGTTAGTTCTAATCTGATTCTTCCACAACAAAGCACACACAACGACTGACATCAGCACTTGTTTGGTCAACTCCTTCTACATTCTGATTCAAGCATATATGGTTGCAAAAAAATCCAATTAATAGTTAAACAGGCACCAGAGACCACATTTCTTTGCAAGCATTCTGGGTGAGTGTAATTGCTAATTTGAAGTCTTTCCAGCAGCATATCTCATTTCTATCAGCTTGAGTTTTGTTTATTGTTAAAAAATGAATCCGAAATGTCACTTCACTCATTTCCTCATTACCGAAGAATTTGAAATCGTGATCCCACTTACAGACACAGCTGGGTTTCTTGGCAGACCACTGGTTGTTCTTCTGACACGTAATGTTCTTTTTCCCCACCAACTCGAACGCCGATAGACACTCAAAGAACAGTTTGTTTCCGTGTCTGAAGCCGGTGCCTTCCCTTTTCCCGTAAGCAGGTATCCCCGGGTCTCCACAGCTGCCTTGGTCAATCTCTGCAAAACACACAAGTACACAACACACACACACAGACACATTAGGTGGATTTTATGCAGTAGCAAAGCAAGCTACATCACAAAATTTGTAGTTATATCAATCCACCATAGCCTCAAGCACTCCGATATCGATCTCTGCCAGCCAACTAAATGAAGACGCAGTATCTAAAAGTGAGACATTGCTGGGACATGCATCACATTCTCAAGCCTCTCAAATCCTGCTATGAACCATATAGATTTAAATGTAATTACTTTATTGGCAAACTAAATCGACAGTTTGGTTTTGCAGTCTGCAGAAATCCAGACGAATTATGCACACATTTGGGCTCTTTTGAATTGGACTAATGCATTCTCCGATAACTATTAGGGCCCGAATAGAAAGAACATTTAGACAACAATAAATATAGCTATTGATTCCGGCAAGCAATAGCAATTAACAAACTATATGTATGAAAAATAAGCATTGGTGTTTTCATACTGCTGAGGCATTATAGAAAAGTGTTTTAGCGCCAAAATGTGAATTTGCTGAAAGTGAGAGCATATTCATGGACATGAATGAATAGCACAAATGGATTGTATTATTACAGTGCTATAGTGGCAAGAAATGTGACTTATTATTTTGCAATGCATCACCATTTTCAGTACAGAATCACTGAAAACAGCTTAATTACACCATATTATGATGCATGTTGTCTACTCCTGCAATGTCAATATCTATGTTAATGTCAGCTTTGTTTGTATAGCACATTTACAACAACTCCAGCTGCCCAAAGTTATGTACATGCAGAGAAGGAAGCAGAATATGATACATTCAAATACATGTAAAATGAGTTAAAAGCCAAGACATATAAATTGGAGACTTTAAATCTCCAATCAGTCTCCTCATGTTTTGAGACGAGACCTGGGCCCTCGATAATCTTCTGAATTGCTCAGACCTGTCCATACACCCTCCATGGAATTGTGTTACTGCTACAAATATGCTGGGCCGTGTTAAAAGCTTACATCGACATTTTCACACATATACTTTTGAAGACTATCCATATGCCTTAAAACCACACAGACCAATTTCATTAACAAAAGATTTATGCAACGTTTAATATTCTAGTCACTCCTCCTGCTGCTATACCGCCGTAACAGCTCAGAGATGGGAGAGCAGCGAGGTATCCCATGGAGGCGTCCGATAGGAGGGAATCAGATCATCCATCCAGGAAACTATGACAGGTGTTAATACAGTTTTAAATCGCGGCAGGGGTGATGTCGGGTGTAAATCCATACTATGCTCTAATGATGATCATTAGTTAGGACACATATTTAGAGTTCACCACTGCAGAATCTACGGCTATCCTGAGGCGGCCCTGCGCACAAGACAACTCATTGATCTCTCTCAGGAGTCACCTTCGAGACGAGTGGAGAGGTGAAGCTGAGAGGATGTGCTGCAGATGGCTGAGACACACTGTACTATGTTGCACTCATCAGACACAACTCAAAAGTACATCCATCCACTATATACGTGTGTTTAAACTTGTATAACCAATTACTGTTTCAAATCTGTGTTTTTCTCAGAAAATCAAGCCAAATGCAATTTGTTGAAAATACGGAAAAATATGACTTGATGAGCTGTTTCACTTGATGAGGCACAATGACCAAGCCGAGCATCAACATTTGAAGGGTCTCTGGACGCTAATCCTAACCACCGCTCCTGTCAGAGACCTTAGTAGCATTAATGGGTAAAATGCGTTGAACAAATATTGCCTTACAGGAATAATTAAGTTGTGTACCTTAAACCAAATGTGCACTTTAAACTTTTCATACAAAACAATGATATTATCACTGCCCTCAGTTCAACTATGTGTTAAACCCTCCACCACTAACCTCATAAAATCCAGACACAATACAATTTGAACAGACAGAAAACAGAAATGTCCCACAGGGGGCAATTAAAAATTCTCTAATCTAAGGTCACTATGCAGGCAAAATCACCCAATAGCTGTCCTAAATCTATTTAAGCAATAGCCAAATTCTTTCTTTTACTTAATTTATTTTAAAAAGCGACCACGTACAATTAGAACTTAAATGTTTCAATTTGATGCATTGTTAGGCCAATTTACATTTGTAGTCCCCCGGCAGGGAAGAAAACTCCACATACAGGTGGAAACAAAGTAGCACAAACATACCATAAAATACACAATATACACAGGGCAAACACTGATGCATTCCCACACACACACACAGGCATTCGCACACAGTTACACACACACACACACACATAGTATACAATCAAGCACATAGACTATTCTCATGGATCTAATTGAGTGTATTGCTCTGAAATTCACAAATCTTTTCAAACAGTCAGGAGATAAGCCATTTAGAACTTTGAATATAAGGTTGTAAAAATATCTGAAGTTTTCAAAACTCATAAAATTCTATTCTACAAAGATGCTAAAGTGATAGTGCCGCAAAGGCTTTTTGTCTAACTTTTTTAAGGCCTGTTTATAAACTGACTCAAGAGGTCTCACAACTATTTCCCCAGCCTGCCCCCAACAGGTGAGACAGTAGGACAAATGCAAGAAAATAAGCAAATGCATAAATGTTCTAGCTACCTCAAGGGAGACACAGGGTCTTATATATGTCTGAAATTGGAAAGGTTAAATTAGAGAGTTCTAGTCATTTTTTTTTTAAATTTAAGTCTAAAGTAACCCTTAGGTATTTGTATTCAGAAATATTTTCAATGTCAGAGTTTGTGCCATGTGCATTGGTTTTCAAAAAAAAAAAAAGTCTTACTAATGTTAAGGCAAAGACAGGATTGATCGAGCCATTGAGCCAAAACCTCTAGGCTCAATGGCTTCCGCAACATACAGTATGTCTGCTTATTTTGTTTTGGAAGGAATGCTAAAGTAATATCTTCATCAAATGTATCAAATTTGTCACAGTATGCTTGAGGACAACAATATGTCTAATGAGCAATCATTGTTTTATAATTGGAAGTATGATGTTATCAACTAGGAAATTGGGTTGACATATACTGCAGACAAGTTATAGAAATAAAAAAAATAGATATACAAGGATGCCTATAAAAAAGTGTATCTTCACTTTCTGTCTCCACTAATATAGCACATATAAAGGAAGCGCACTCACACCTAGTCTCCATAAACACAACATAAAGGTGTGTTGTCAATCCAAGGCATTAGGGGTGCAACGGTTTGAAAAAATCACGGTTCGGTTCGTACCTCGGTTCAGAGGCCACGGTTCGGTTCATTTTTCGGTTCATTTTTCAAAAAAAAAGTTTTGTCTTTTTAATAAACACAGCTCATGTGGACTCGGCACCTGCTCTGACTGCCCCCCCTGAAATAGAAATGAATTAAGGGGAAGGAAATGGATGGATGGATGGATGGCATATTCCATCCATCCAATTATGTCTATTTAACATAATTAATGAAAAACAACACAAAGTGCAACATAAGAAGGCACTTTATGAGGATATTTACCCTCATATATTACACCACCTTCCTGATTCGAGGAGGCGGTCCATTCTGGGCCCAGCCTCATTCACTGCATTTATTTAATTTTTGGCATTATCAGTTGTGACTGGGATATTAGTACTGGGCCTTTGTCTTCCATTCCTCCGCTGCTTGTGTCAGTACCTGCGCTGTGTGACTTTGTGACTGTCGTAGAGGGGGCGTGTCTGCAGCGCCAGACTTTTCATCTCCCAGTCTGCAGTGATGAAGTGAGCGGTTCCGCTCATGGATCTATTATAGGTTCCGCGGGACGTCCAAGCGTCAGTCGTGAGCGCAGCTGAGGATGCGCGGGAGAGTTGACTTTAGCCCGGTCTGACTGTGCGAAAAGGAGCTGCTTAAATGCCGCGACAATAAGCGGTCGTTGAGACGCTTTTTTTCACTCATGTCTTTCTTGTGCCACAGTGCTTACACATCGTGACAGTTTTGTCGAATATTAACTATCAGTGTAGTTACAGTGAAGCCAAAATGCTCTCATACTGGGGATTTAAATGACGCGGGGCTTTCAAGCATCTCCGTTCCTCCGCTCGCAATGACCGCGCTGTGTGTGGACTGAACAACGTGCGCACAACTTTTTTTTCATAAATCAAACCGCGGATCACGTCTGTACCGAACCGAAGACGTTGAACCGAACGGATCACGGATCAGTGATGAACCGTTGCACCTCTACAAGGCATTGTCAAAAGGTTACAGGCCCAGTTTCAAAAGACAAATCTAATTGCACGTGATAATAGACCTTAAAATACAGCAACTGCAAATGAGATTTTGGGTGCTCCGATCTGGGAGGTGAAGAAGTTCAGACAGTCCCCCCCTCCTAATTAAACACGATTGTTGTTTTAATTACTCTTTGCCTCAGCCTGCTGCTCCACTTTCTTTGTTATTTTTACTGATGAAAAATAAGCAATTGCAAGCAGGGGGGACAATTCACTGTGCGTGTGAGAGACGAGTTATCAGAGGGTGGGATGAACTTGCATAAACACAAAATAAATAACATGCACACGATGTCTCCGAAGGAACAGACATGAAACATAATGATCCCATATGTGGCCCTCAAAAGGATGGGCTTCATGATTATGGTAAACTGGTTGAGTTGAGGAGCTAGTAGAGATTATTCTGATTTTTCACAATTCTCTCATTTCTGCCGGCATTTTTTTGTTTTTTTTAATAGTGTATTTGCCACATCAATACATTATAAATGAAAAGGCATATGCTTTTTTCAGTCATTGTTAGTTCCTGTGTGAAACCATGTTTGTTCAAATAAATGTTCTTTCTACTTTCATACACTATACAAATTAACCCGTATTGGGGTGGGTCTGCTTAAATTCATTTATAGAAATATAATTTATTTGGTCAGTGAGGTATTTTGACTTAAAAAAGAATGGATTTTCACCAAAATAAATGTATAGTTAAAATGAGGTGAATAAATAGATAAAAGAGGCTAAAAGCATTACTCATTCTGAAAGATAGCCAGTCCTATGGGTATTTGGGTCAATGTTTTCATGAACTGTGATGTATTTTGTCTTACATTTTTGTATGAACAGTTTTTTACAAATACAGATTGATGGATTGGTTGATTGAATATAGTGTAGCTCCCCTAGTTGGCAAAAAGAGATACTTTATTCATCCCACAGTGGGGAAATGTAATTTTTGCAAAAAATACTAAACAAAAGCACAACTCTATATTTATAAAGAATACGTTAAAACATATTTCAGTAGCTTAAGCTTAACAAAAACATGTATCATTGACAGCTTGGAGTCTTTTGTGATGGTTGTGGATGAAGTTCTGTGATCTTTATCCTTATTGATGGTAAACGTGGTGATATAAAACATATTTATTTAACAATATGTTGGCTTTACACAATCACTAATGATGGGTGGAAAAAAGTTTGGGTTATCATTCAGAATATGAGAGGAAACAGAGACATATTTGACAGTGTGTGTACATTTTCAACCAAGCTGTGAGTTCAATAGTTTTATATTTATTTTTACAGCATTACTTGGCAGATATCCACTCACTGGTCTCTATGTGACCATAACCACAAATAACTGTTAAAAGATGACATCCCTTGTTGATCCACGGAACGGTCTACAGATTCAACTTAAAGGCTCTAGAACTAGAACTAACATTTAAAAAAGTATAAGTCAAATATTATGGAGAAGGATAGAACACATGAATTGGATTATGCCTAATAACTTTTGATTCATGGAAGTTTAAGTTTTGTGCTACATGTTACCATTGAGAAACTGTGTCATTTTTGGACATATTGTCACATTGTAAAAGGGATTAAGCAGAATAAATCTCGACTTCTGCCTAAACCCCTTTCGGTCAGGGATTAGTTAGCACTATAATTCTTAATTGACACATTTTAGTTATTTTTTTCTACTACTACTACTAGTTGGAGGACTGTGAATGAAAATGAGGCAAATTCTCTTACCCTCGTACGAAACCTTGAAGCCAAGGGAGCCGCTGGTGTCATCCGTTTTAAAGTTGAGCCACATCTGGTGACTGGTGCTCACTACAAGGTCTGGAGTGGTGGTTCCAGACAGACTGAAGAGAAAGGGAACAAAGAAAAAAAACTATTAAGGAGAGAAGTCATCGAAGTAACTTGGAGGAAATGTATTTCTTCCATCTCATTATATGTGTTGTACAGTTATTATGCAAAGAGTTTTGGCCTATTCCACTAAGTGTCACTTCATAGCTAAAGGGCCTGCTTTCTGTGGCCTCATTAAAGAGAATTCTCAGGCAGAGGAGAAAACACCTGACTACGTGAACTTTCTTTTCACCGTGGGTTAGAAAGCTTTTTTCAGACAATTCCTCAGAAAGACAGAAAGTAAAAAGAAGAAAAGGAAATGAGTAAACAATAAATATGCTGATGTTCCTGACTAGTAAATACACTTGACTAAAGCCTAGTGTACACTCGTGCGGCACTGGTTACTTTTTTCAGTTGCGCTGGACCTACGCAGCCACAGTTGCTGGTACACTCGCGCGTTCCCCTTGCGGCGTTTTGAAGAGAATGTTGTAATCCCACACCCAACCACATGTTGCCGATCTCACAAGAGTTGCCTGAGAAACCTCTGCTACTCTTCAGAACAAAAATATTAGCAAATCAAGCTGTTTGAGATCATTACATGTATATCAAGTGCAGGTTTATGTGATAGTTCTATGAACTCATTATTTCATAAGTGATTTCAACTGTGATGCTGTGAATAAAGTCACAGTTCTTGTTGGAAACATAGTTATTATTACATTTTATTCAGCACAAGCAGCAAAAAAGTAGGTGGTAAATATCTGGGACCAAACATGAATGATTTAAGTACAGGAGGAGTGCAAAAGACGCAATGAGCTACGAGTGAAAATTCAAACAAAGACAGGCGCAGGAACAGTGCAAAAGTAACGACTGTACAGTTTATAAGTTGGATATGCTACAGCAGGGTTTCTCAAACTGGGGTACGCGTACCCCTAGTGGTACGCGGGCGCCCTCTAGGGGTACGCCAAAGAATCTGTGAAAAAAAAAAAAAAAAATCTGTGAAAAAAAAAAATTTTTTTTTTTTTTTTTTTTTTTTTTTATTTTACCAGGAAAGTCCCATTGAGATTAACTCATTGACAGCCATGGATGTCATTTGAGGACAACATTGTTTTTCAATCGTTTCCTGTCAGTCTGTGTCCCCTGTATCATACAGTCTGGGGTTTGGCTGTAGACAGTATTTTATTAAGCCAGCAGGTGGCAGCAGAACTCCCTGGTTTGGTCAAAGATCACTGTCTGAGCACTCTGAGCAGGAGAGACAGAGGTGAAGCAGACATGGAGTAATATAGTCAGGGTCAGGCTACATTTGGAGGCAGTTTGAGCAGTAAATGTGTCTCCAGAGCTGACAGAGACCATGTGGAGGGTCCTAGCAGCAGACCATGTGGAGGGTCAGGACAGCAGACCAGTGGAGCACCTCAAAAAAGCCACAGAAAAGTGGACTATTGCTAAAATTATCACTGAGTCCACACCAGGAGCCAGCAGCAAAGTCCAGATATGGTCACAGCGCACGCCGGACTAAACAGACGCTCTGTAGATGTAACCACACAAAAACACACAAACGCGTGCATAAACGCACATACATGCACGCCCAAACACACAAAGACACACAGCAGTATTCTGTTGCACTTATACTATAAGTATAAGTATTCACTTTGATTTATTGTCATGTATAGTGTTTATCATTGTAATTTTGTTATTCTTTGATTTACTCTTATTGACATAAATATAGTGCCACCTAATGGATGAATACTGGCCATTCTATCTGGCATAGTTTGTCATGGGCTCTACTTTCAATATGTACATTTTAACATTTTTTGGATGAGTACATTTTGAAATTTTTGAGCAACACTTTGTGGATGTGTGTGTGCCATAAAACTTATTATTTTACATTAAAAACACTTTCTCAAAACGTGTTGCTGTTTTCTAACATGTAAGATCCTGGACATGTTGGAGGAGATGCTACAGTTAAACTAAATAGTTTTACAATCACTTTTCTGCAGTTCGTCTGTTTTCACAAAAACCTAATTTTCTAATTTTTTTGTCTAAGACTGGTGCTTACTGGTGCTAGGTACACTCTCCTCTGTTCGACTGGAGATCACAGGAGAACGAAACAAACTAAGAACAAACTTCTTTTTGCTGCTGAAAGTAGACAGTCCAGTCTTTCAGACTCTGGTTTCATATTTTTCATAGCACACAATATTCTGTGAGTCTTAAAAATCAGTGAAGTCATCAAAAAATGGCTGGCAGTCAATGAGAACCTCTTTTTCGTGTTCAAAAATTACATAAAATTACAGATGATAAAACAGTCACATACAGATGATAAAATAGTCACATACAGATTATACAACAGTAACACACAATTTCATAAAATTACGGATTATAAAAACAGTTACATTTCACTGAAGATGTCTCAATCTGGATCTAAAAGCATTCAAGGAAATAAGATCAGATCATTTCTAGTCTTTTTGCAACACGTTCCATGTAGAAGGAGCAGTTTTTTTTCCCAGTTCTGTGCAAAAGGAACAGAGAGCAACAAACGATCATTTGATCCAAACCATGAGAACATGTCTCTGTGAGTAAACGACAGATGTAAGAGGGCAGCAGAACAAGCCTTAGAAACTAAAGTGCACCAGAGTCCAAACCTTCTGTGGACAAAGATCCCACTCCAGAATATAGCTCACAGTGAGGCTTTGCAGTTCGCAATGAATGAAACATTTAAAACATTTTTTTTTTCCTATATTTAAGCGCAGTCTTACTGTTGAAACTGTGTAAAATATTACATTAAATATACTTCTTTAGGAATGAAACCTCTGCCTTGTTATTGATGAATACTTCGGCTTACTACGCTACTGTGTGGTGTTGGTCATTTGTGGTGGTACTTGGAGAGGCAAGTATTTTCTGAGGGGGTACTTGGTGTGAAAAGTTTGAGAACCACTGTGCTACAGAACTGAATAGTCCACAGTCTCAGTGTATAACAGGCTCTGAGCCATGAACCCAAACTACTTTTCCTTCGATTCCTTCAAAGCACGAAGCTATCTGTTCCGAAGTGCCTCGTCCAAGTTCCCTGCAGCCGCTCCATACTTCCGTCCAAAACACACACATGGACCAATCACAGTGGAGCGTCTCTGCGAAGCCGGCTACATAGTTAGAAATTTTCGAGGGTGCGCGGCAGGCTATGCAAGGAACTTGCGGTGATCCTTGCGTTGTGCAAGTGACATCACGTCACCACCGTAAGCTCCGCGCCGCGCGACTATACACAAGGCTTTAAGCATGTGTTACTGTTTGGAATGATTTATTAATTGGGACTTATCAGTTCAGTACTCATTTGTAAATGTGCTGCTTTGGCACGAGGACACAACACCAGTATATGCACTGTTTGGAGCTGGGATTGATCAAGCTCATATCACGGATCCATCGCTATTCTATAACATCCTATAACCGCAAGTATAACATGATTGTTACCTTTATATATTGTTATGACAATATAGTGTCTCATGTGCACCGGTTTAATTAATTACTATCGTGGCCTTCCCAAAGCCCTCCTTCCTTCAGCACGGTGCCCTGTACAGGTGCATTTTATAGTGTAGGTGCGGCATTTGACAGCTGCAGCAGTACTCAGATCTACAACGTACAGGTTTGATATCTTCATGATCGCACTTCAGCAGCCGTGAGTTCAGGTAATTAGTGTATAGAGTATGAGGTAAGGGGCTTAACAACCTTACGACATGTAGCTGCTACTTTTGTGGTGTTTGCTTCTTGCGGGTTATTTTTTAGAACGTGATCCTTGCTATAAACAAGGGTTCACCGTAATCTGTTAGCTGCACTTTTCCTGTATTATATTCTACAGCTGAAGAGCAGTAAGTGCTACAGTATTTGCATAGTTAAGACAGAAACTGAATGTTTACAGTGTTTATACCTTGGTCTATAAATGAACACTAAAACCCATTCATCTGGCACCTCCTCTCGTTTCCAACCAGGGAAACAAGCTTGTGTAAGAATTATTCGATAAAAGTTTAGTAAGGCATTAAATTTACACATAATTCACACGTGCAAAATTATGATGGCATCTGGGAGTACACTTTTTACGAGTATACTGTATATGTGTAGTTATACTTGCAACTACACATGACAGCAAACTTATCTTGAACACTGAAGAGCAATGATTGACAATGTGGAGCTGCATCTATATTTTATGCGCTGCTGCATCAGGTGGTGATGAAATAAGAGGGAAGGAAAAGAGCTACAGGGGAAGAGAGGAGAAAAGGCTGCTGCCAGGTGCCTGGGAAGCAAAAAAGAAAAAATGCTACGGTGCATGAGAGAGAAAAAAAATAAAATTACTTCTAAAGACCGAGCTGGAATGAAGGGAGGGAGTAAAAGCCAAAGGAAGTTAGAGGAGATAAAAGTGACAGACCTCGTAAATGTGATGTCCATAATATTATATTGGGAGCTTGGGAAGTTTCAGATGGATGTTTGGAGCTGCAAAATCAGTCCTATGCAATTTGGACACTTCACAAACAAATTTTATCCCTCCGCACAAAATCGGCTGTCAATTTCTCTACCCCTGCCAGCCGGATATGCTATCAAAATTCAATTGTAATCCTAAAAGATGATAAGTGACTTTTGTAGTGTAAGGATTCCAAGAGTAATCCAGAAATGCATTGGACAAGTTGATAACGCAGTCAGTAGGTCTGACATCGCCTCTCGAATTAGCAGTTCACAAGACACATTTTTTGTCTTCTTTGCAAACTAAAAAACAGATTACAGATAAACAAAAAGATCACTTGAATTTTGCACAACGTGTCTTGATTTGAGAAAATGTCTCTTTCCCTTGTTAACAATTTACATATTTATGAGTTGAAACCTTGTCAATGAATTTCGCAACTCAGGTTGAATTATAAGAAGGTTAAAACAAAAGTTTTTTTTTTTTTACATTTGTGCAGTGAGTCTTTGGTTGCTACAAGAACAAAAAAGGTTGTTATGAAGGTTTGGATATTTTAACCATGTTGCAAAATGTATGGGCATTGTGCATGAGGTAAGTACATTATTTCATGGAATTCTCTTGATATATTTACCAAAATAAGGATTTTTATTGGTTTGCTTTGTTATTGCCACACAAAAACATATATACACAAGACGACACGGAAAATGTAACAATAAATATTCTGTTGAAACTAAAATAAATGTTAATTTAAGGTTATCCACTGTACTGTTCCACAGATTGATGCAAAATAAGACTTTTATTATACAGACACATTTCAATGTTGGTCAGAAATATTGCTATTAGATATTTTGCCCAAATTATGCAGCCCGAAAAGACAGTGCAATAATGAATGAGTGAGATGTAGGGCAAGGTTTACTATGACTTACACATGGAAGACGGTCTTCTGGTCTCCCACCACCTCACCATCCCCCACCGTCAGTGTGTCGTAGCCTCTCTCCAGGTCAAAGTCCTCAAAGTTCAGCTTGATCACCTATGCTCCGAGTGGGGACAGAAAGGTTGGGGTTAGAGCGCTTGTAGAGGACACTTGTGACAGAGGAATGCCACTGTGGCATCTGTCAGCTCCCATTCCTCACTCCATCTATTCATCCATCAATCTCTTTGAACAAGACTTTGGCACATTTCCAGTCACTGCTATCTGCCTCCTGTGTGCTCAGCGTGGAATGGCTTCAGACTGAGAAAAGAACAAATGAGCTTATTGAAATATATGTGTACTATAAAGCAATATGAAAGACACTGTGCAAGAGAATTTACATTTTTCAGAAGTAATCTGTTGAAACCATGGCTTTTGTGGAAGAGAAGAAGAGCTAGAATTGTGAAGCTGGGGTACCATATTTTTCAAGTAACAAATGTGAACAAACTTTGCTCCCTTTATATTAATGGGGCGACAGTGGCTCAGTTGGTGGAGCATTGGCCTTTGGGCCTGAAGGTTGTGGGTTTAAGCTCACCACGAGACCTATTGTCGTTGTGTCCTTGGGCTAGAAACTTAACCCCATTAAGTCTGATGCCCCCACTGAAAGACCAAGGCAGCTCAGACTAGAGTAGCCATCCTCCTGTGGACTCACCACCTGCAGGAGGATCAGTGAGGGGCTGGTGCTATGTGTACTGGGTGCAGCTCTGACTGCAGCCTCCCCAACCCAGAAATGGATTAAGGGAGAAAAAATGGATGGATGGACCTTTATATTAATTAGAAAAATGCTTTTTTTTTTACATACGGAGCCCTCTTTGAATCACTATGAAATACTTTGGGTTGAGAACTAACTGTCTGAGTGTGGGTGGTCTTCTCTTTTTTCACCTTCTGTCTGAAAAAGCTGATCTAAAGATGCAAGAGAGACCAAAAATGCATGAATGTGAAAACTAGTGATAAAAGCAAACTGTTTTGAGAGCAAGGATCTATTTAGAGGTTAGATTTTTGTTTTTTTATGGTTTGGAGGTTAGGTGCTCAAGCTTTAAACATTATCAAGCTTTTAAACATTATGCAGGCATTGGAGAGTTTTTAATATTATCGTGATAATACAAGATGGATGAAGATAATACAATGTGTAGAATATGTTAATTAATACATGCAATTTGTATTATAGCAGCATGAAAACAAGGACAAGGCCAGCACCATTAGAAGAATGAAGTGATAAAGCAAAATGTGCGTGTACGTCTTACATTAATGTCCATATTCAGCCTTTGTCGTATATTTGAAAATGGGCCAATGATTTCCGTCAAATGTTTTCAGGGTGTTCGAGAGCTAATGAAAAAGCTTATATAAATGCAAATTGCATTCTGTCCAATGTTAAACCCAGTGCTTAATGAAAATCGGCAAGGTAGAAAGAAGAGATGGATGGTGGGTTGCAAAAATAGGTCAGATTGTTCGATAAAAAGAGTTGCAAAGCAAACTCATCTTGTGGCTAAAAGCAAGTGAGAGTGGGGAGAATACCAAAGATAAAGTAATGTGAGGACTAACTAAATTGAAATAAAAACATGGGAAATAATTCTGTTGAACAAGTTTTTGGTTTGTTTGTTATGTCTTTGGTTTGATACAAGCTTTGCAAACAGACAGTTGGGTCAAACTATTTCCATATTTAAATGTGGATTTCCTCCACATATTGTAATAGCAGTACTTTGAGGGAAAATTAGATCTCAGAGCGCTGTCTTCAGTCTGAATAATGAACCATTGTATCTTTTCCAATCACAAAGAGCCTTTAGCAACACTGCTTTGGCATCTCTTTTCTTCTCACAAAAGTCCCAAACAAACAAAAGGCCCATGTACTTCCATTATAAAAGCAACACATTTTACTCAAACTAAATGAAAGAGAAGAGAGACATTGGGAATTAGGCTTAAAACATGTGCTTCCTTGTGTTGGACAGCCTATTCAAAGAGATGCCTTCTTAAAACATGGGTACACTTTTTTTCTTCTTCTTCTTCTCATAAACACTACTTGTGAACAAATCAGACCACAACATACTGTCTTCATCTTATTAGAAAACCTATTACATTTAGCATACGGTGAGTCACAATTTACTTTGGGCTGGTTAAAAATCTGATTGGCTCTACAAAATTGAGTGACAACAGTCCTTTCTTTTTCTCTTTTCTGTCTGATAACGTTGATCCGAAGATGTGCAAGAGGTCATAAAACAAGAATGTGAAAACTAGTGATAGCACCTGGTAAGATCGATTTTTTTACAATGTTTGTCAGCTAACATTGGTTTTAAAACCAATTTTAGCAGAGGTACCCCAGCTTTAGCAGATTTCTCATGTGTCTCCATCTTTACATACGGAACATTTCTGTCAGCTCAGAGCCAGATTTAGAAACTTGGCACATCATGAACAAGTGGTGAGGAGCAACATCGCTCATTGTGTCGAGAGAGGGCTGCGTCAGAGAGGTTCTGACTGACCCAATGTGTCCTCTGTCTGCACTTGCCTGGGTCGGCAGTAATAGAAGCACATTAGCCCCTCTAAACAGCAAGACCAGGCCCGCTCCATCTTCATCTGAGCTCACACGCAGTCGCAGTGGCAGTCCAAAGTGCACTTTCGACTCTAGATGCGTCTACCCAAGGGTGTCAGCGAGCAGGAAAGAATGTGCGAGGGCGTACTCAGGACAGGAAGCAATAACGACCAGTAATCTAATTGCTTCAAATATTGGCGCAAAATGGGTCTGAACTGAATGTGTTATCACTGCATATGAACAAATGTCAGAAATCAGTGCTGGTGAACTGCCAGGAGCCAACTGTTGTGCTCAGGAAAGAAATGTATTTTGTATTTAAGAAAAAAAAAAGCAGATATACTGCAAAAGGTTGCGTTCATGTTGCAAAATTCTAGTTCAGTTGCAGGTCAGGTACTATAGCAAGAAATGTTGAAAAAGAAAATGTTCATATCAATGTTTTCTCTGATAATTTTTTTTGATAGTGAGTAGATTTATAAACCCTCCATGCTCTATCCATGCCAGATGTGACATGTAAATTTCTCCTGTGTGAGATCAATAAAGTCTATCTTATCTTATCTTATCTTACTAATGTCCGCAACCGTTAAAAGAATTTTTTTTACCCTGCTGTGATGACAAAGATATCAAATTTTGTGACAGCTTTTGTTTAATATGGATACTATCAGTCTCAAGAGTCAATTTTTGCTTTTGCTTGCCCTATTCTATTGTCACTGAAATCATGGAGCTGCTAACTGTTCATATAAACAGATGCAAAAGCTTGTGCAGCTGGTCTATAAATATATTTTCACATTATTGCAATTTATTCCAGTATGTATTACCTATTAAAGAGGTACAATTCAACTTTAAACATAAGTAAGCCTAATTCACTGGATGTTGATAAGTCCACAAAGCTCAAAGTCAGTGTGACAATGACAGGGGGCAGTGTGAGTTCACCTAAGATAGCCTTGTCTTCACAATGAATGAGCATATTTATAAAAAGCCTTTTGTACGAGTTTGCAAAAAGAAGGAGCGCTTTGGCGGCAGAGGCAGCTGGGTGGCCTTGAACACAACTCCAAAGTCAATGGCTGTGACACTTCATGATCTCCCCTGAGCGTGCTCCCAAATCTTCCCATTACTCCACTCTCCACAGGTGTGTGTATCCACTCCCTTTGTCTTGCTTTGGAACGCTGCCAGACTTGTCTCATTTTTTCTTATCGCTCACATTTCTCCAGGAGCGAGCTTGCGTCGGAGTCTGCAGGCTGCAACCCCCAGAAACAGTACTCCAGCCATTGTGAAACAAACTAATTGATAGCCCCCAGTAGCACCCATATTAATAGGAGAAAGTGTGCAAAAAGTGGTTAAAAATTGCCGTTTACAAAGAATAACTGAATTTACAGATTCAAACACACCTTTGTTGGATCTGTAGCTGTGATGACCCATGTGCAGTTTGCGTTGTTGTCGTACTGAACCGGGTAATTAGGTGACGTAATCACACCGCCAGGCCCTTTCAGTTGTCCTCCGCACATGGGAGCTGTGAACAATGAACAGAATAAACTGAATACATTGCATTAACAAACATCTATCTAAAATTTCAAAAAGAAACAATGGTCGCCGATCAATGCTCGATGTGGCTGAAAAGAGAGAAAAGCTTTTTCTATTTGTTGTTAATTGTAGGCACTGGCAACCCACATGAGAAACTCATGCAAGGATCGCTCTGCTTTCTGATTTCTGGTTATGAATTCAAACACTAAAACCCACCAACATGTATTAATGTTTTAATAATTAAGAATGAATACATTTTAAATAATGTATGAGTTAATATAGACATTTGATTTAAACTTGTTTAACTCATGCACACATAGAAATACAATAACCTTACAGTGAGCACATAATACATAAATATATATCAGATTTGGATGTATGTACTGTAGGCTTGGAATTCAAATCAAATTAAATAAGGTGATTGCACGGCAGTCTTGAGCAGGGTAAAAAGTAAAGTCAAAAAGCCAAACCAACTTTCTTTAATTTAATGAGTTACGTCAGAGAGAAGTCCTATGGGTCCTAAGCCTATATGCGAGTGCAAGCCTCCCCATACAACCCTAATTAAAATATAGAAAGTTGGAGTGGACAGGGTAGTTAACAGAAGTGGTATAAGAAAGGGTAACTTTTGGATGAAATATCGCTCTTTACATGTTAAGAGCAGACCATCAACAGCATTTAAAGTTTTCAAAGGGAAGGAGAGCCTTGGACTGCAGAGTGGAAGCCAATCAATCCCTGCCTCAATGCTGCTTAATTTAATGAAGACTATTGCTAATTTATAATACAGATCTTCAATTATCCCAATGTGATGTTTAATCTTCATTGAAAGGGAGTGAAGCAGAACAAAAGAGCAGCTGCAAAGGTTAAATGAGGAGGACGGAATACGATATTCTCAAAGGGCAATTTCACTCAATGTGGCCAGGACGGAACAGTGATGGAGATGGGGGAGAAGTGGAGAGCAGTCAGTAAGATGGGAAAATAGTGTATTTTGGTTGAAATAATAATTGTCTTTAAATAACAATCCCCAACTTTTTTGTTCTACAGGCAACAATTGTTCTTCTTTAGTTTCCATGCCAAAATTAAAGCTAGGGTACCAAGCTTTTTTTCCAGAAATTTTATTTTGTATTTCTCAAAAAAAAAAACAGGATTGCTCGAGTAAAATGTTGTCAACAATCAAACCACAAAATACAGTTATCATATTTTTGGAAAATTATTTTCCATGGTTGTAAGGATGAGCCCTCTGAATCACAATTTGACAAAAAAAAACTTGCATCTGAAGCTGGTGATAGGACTCTTTGAGGACCTAGTTACATGGATTTTATTATATATATATATTTTTTTTGTGTGTGGTGTATCAATTTAATTAATTTTTGAATTGCCCTTAATCACTGCAGTGATCAATAAAGAAATCAAGAAAACTTAATTGCAGTTTGGTGACTAGAGCAGAGTCTTGCTGACTGGGACGAGGTGAAATACCCTATCCACATTAGATCTCCCCCACGCGTCGCCTTATGCCGTAATTGAATCTCAACACAATTGGATTGGTCCAAAGCGGAGCAGCACACTGGATTTAGATATGGCTCAGTGTGACGTGAGGAGCGTATGCCTGCGAGGCTGTTAACGGGATTAAATGCACACATCTCACATTTGGATGTATCTCCTGATGATAGGTAGTGCCAAAAAGCTGACAACTGAACACATTCCTTTTAATCTTGTGGGTAGATGCTGTGTGCCTCCTGCCTCCTGTCGAGCTCAACAATATTTATTCGCATACATTTAACAAATGTCTGAAGACTTGCCTGTATTTTTTTTTCTTTTTATTTAACCTGTTTTCAACCACAAATTCCCAATGTGATTTAACTATCTATAATACATAAATAATAAAGAATGCATGAGATTGAATTGACTTGAATTTCCAAGCTCAACCATTGATCAAAGATTGGTCATTTTTTTGAAAAAAATCAATGATCTTTGTCCAGTGACTCTAATAACCTCGGCATTTGCATAGTTGATGTTGCATAGTTTCTACATGAAGAAAGGAAAGTTTCTTTGGACCGAATGCATGTCTTCTTTGCTTCAAAACTTCCTATCTACTGAAAAGATAATGTCTTCTTTGTTAAATTATAATGCCACCAGAAAAAATTACAGAACTATTACTTTTTAGTCATTTTAACAAAATGCAGTGAGGTTACTGAATAATTTTATAGCTTCACTCAAATTGATAAGCCAGTCATGGGTTACAGTCAAAGCAATCATTAGCATAGTAGAGCCTGAGGGTTTGGCATTTCCACAGCATATAATCATGCTGAATCTAATTGTGAACATGACACAGAGTACCTGTAATAGACAGTCATCAATATAGAGTGTGGCAGTGTGGTAGTGTGGCCGTACCTCTGCAGATGGGCCTCTCATCGCTCCAGCCCACATAGCTGTCAGTCACCCTCAGACAGCTGATGCTTTTGGAGCCCTGCAGTTCATAGCCCTCGTCACAAGAGAAGTGCACCGTGGCCCCGCGTCTGTGGAAGAGCACAGGTCAGGCTCACACAGCTCACACACACAGCGTTGGCAAGACATGAGACATTTGTTTCAGTAGACCAATGTTTTAAATAGGAGTTCATATTCTAATCTTAACCCGAGCTCTACTTGACTTGGAGACATATTCCGGCCCTCTCGGTTATGGGACCGTTTGTTCTTAGTGTTCATCTACCACCCTGTAGTTAACTCAGGGCTGGAGCTTTATAAACAGGAGCTCTAACACACTGGGCACAAGCTGTGCATTCTGCCATCTGTGAGTATTTATCTGTCTCCTTCTATGAGAAAATATCTGATTCTAAAGAAAATGAAGTGGTGAAATAGGTAATACATTGTGAGGGGAGGAGCATGAACGAGAGTGTGGTTGATAAGAGGAGACTAGAGATGTGATTTCCAAGTCTCCCTTAATGAGCAAAAGAATGAAGCGAGGAAGAGAGATACTGGAAAGTGGGCACAAGCTATCAGCAGAACATAGACGTGAATATAGCAGATGCTGCTAATAAAACGTACAAAGACATTACACATGACACAAACCTAGGGAACGACAAATCACAAATATTGAAACTGCCATAGAAAAAAATCATGAATATAATTTCTCACTGACTTTAAACATGAAAATGTAAGCTAGAAAAGGTTGAAAAAACAAAAAAAAGCTCAGTTAATTTAAATTACAATAAATTACTATTCATCTTCATTGTCAGTGTATTTTTGAATTTTTTTGTAATTACTTTTAATATTGACCAACTGTAGCAAACATGTTTACAGTGGTCCCTCATTTATTGCGGGTTTCGTTCTAAAATTAACCTGTAATAAATGAATTATTCTGCGATTGCATAGATCTCAAACCAAATCATTGTGGGTCTAAGTGCTGCTGCAACTGTCAAAAGCCATGCATACACTGTAAAGTATAATTTCTGAGAAAATTACGCTGAGGGGTAGGAGCAGGACTGAGGGAAATGAGAAGTGCGCTGTAGTCCTCTGAACTCGTCACGGCAGTGCACAACAAAACAAAGGAAGAATGCGTTTGTTTGGAGTGCAAATAACAAAAATAACTGCTCAATTATAATCCTAAACAACAATAAGCCATGAACGATAGTAAAAGGACATACAGTATGTTTGTCTGCTGTTTTTTACAGTAACAACATTTATAGCACGTGAAGTTGAACTTGACAGAAATAGTTGATGTTACCTGAAATCCGAGCCTTTTCTTTTCCCCCGATCTGGGATCCCTGGATCTGGGCACATATTATGCCCCTGTGCTACCCCCATTTGGGACACTAAGAGAAAAGAGAGGAGCAATCGTTAGAGATCCGTTCACAGTCTTTAGTTAGCAAAGTCAGTTTAAGGCCCTGGTCCATTAGGAGTCCACTAGTCCATAAAAAGCAGGTTTGTTGATAGTAATTACCTGCCACGGTGAAACGGCCGAAAGTGGATGAAGTAAAAGTGCAGAAATGTCCAAGTCCACATTTGTTATTTATGTGGAATTCACTTTCACATAGCAATGAAGACCTTTTTGTTGTCATGTGTGGAGTAGAGAAATTACATTTGGGACATTGGCCTTGTGCTCTGGTATTATTTTGCAAAAAATCTCAATTGAGTGTTTTCAAATGTCACATTTTAAAATCTACTTTTGTGGGCTGAATAAATTGCAAAAGGCCAATTGTCAATAAAAGAAGAAATGTACCAGAGTTAGAAAAAAATTCACTCCTTAAAAAGTAAGATAACCCCTGGCTAACAAAACAGTACAGTACACCATGTACGAGAAAATTGTAAAAAATAAACAAATGAAAAAAAAAACCTTGCTGAAACATTCACTTCTATTTATTTGGATTTTTTTGTGTTGTTATATATTTCATTTGAACATTCACAGAAACACAAACACAGGTCCAGGGCAGAAACCAAAATAAGGAAAAGGAAAAGGAAACGCTGTTCCACATGTGATAATAACTCCTTAATTGAACTCAATGGTATAGATTAAAAGAAATATAAGATAATAGAAAATATATTATTATTTAGGGATGCACCGATCCGATACTGGTATCGATATCGGCGGCGATACCAGAAAAAATACTGGATCGGATATCTGCGTAGAGAGAGGCGCCGTGCTGCCGATCCATTGTCTTTTTTTTGTACTTTTTTTTAATTATATATATTTTTTAATACATACCAGGTACCGCACAATGTCTTAAAATACATTGTGCATAATGTACATATACGTATAAAATGAATGAATTAAAAGTAATTTATCAGATCTGACGTACACGTCACTTCCTCGTGGCGCTCTACAACAACAACAGCACAGCATTGAGCGCAGGAAAGAATCCCCCATAGACCATTTGGAACCCTTTTTCGCTGTGCATACAAGTGAAGGATTGTCTCTTCACTCTCTTTAATGTACTGTAATGGTGATAACTTGTGTGATTTCAATGTGTGTTTTCCTGTTTTGTTAGGTACTTTGAGTTGTTTGTGTATAAACTATGCTATAGAAATAAACTTGCCTTGTTCTATCGGTAATTCAGTTCCTCAGCTGCTAAAAACAGTCTTCAGGTTTTTCATCATCACAATAAAAAAGCCATTAGGTGTGGTATGAGTCAAAAGCATCCAGTACCCTCCTATGGACAGTTCCGGCTATACAAAGTCCATAAAAGTCACATTACGTCACGTTAAGTTTTCGATTGGTGCTCAGAAGGAACACATGTCCATTCATAATCGATTGCCTCACAAAACCTTTACTCCGACACCTTTCTAAATGTTTCATTCTTTCTGGATATGAACTTTACTGTATTGCTCAAACATTATGCCTGAAATGAAGCGGCTTTCTCAGCTGAAGCTAAAGCTGCTCTTGCACTTTCCTGGTTGTGCTCCGTTGAATCATGTCATGGAGGACGCCGCAGCCAGAGTGGGTCAGGTAAACAGGACGTCCCGCTGAGGCCCGCTGACATGAGCACAGGGGTCAAATGTCTGCAGGGCCAAATCAATGTGACACCTTTTCATTACCGTTGCACCCGATGTGGGGGAAAGGCATCCATGAATATACAAAGAGCTCGGTAGTTGAGTGTGGGGAACACGAGAACTACACTACACGAGGAGAATAGAATATGTAAATGAGTGGGGGGGACGGTTAATTTAAACGTTTGGATCCAGTTACCTGCAGGAATAATACATGTACTGTTTTCATTAGGACAGGGAGAATTATCTAATTATTACAATGTTATCCTTTTGTCTGATTTGCGTTTTATATGTTTTATTATGTTTTTGTTGATTCGTTAGTATTTAATTTGGCCAACTAGACATTTTAGGTGCTAACACATTGAGCATCAAGGTGTAGATGGAGACTCACACATCATCTTAAAGCTGTGTCTAGGGTTTATTCAATTATCTACTGTTTATTTGGTCTGGGACTGTTAATGAACACGCCCCTCTGAATTCTAGCCTTGAGCTCGATTGCATCTGTTGTCCCATGTCACACTCACAATCAGACACTCATTCGCTCTGAACAATTATACGTGTTATTAGTGGTTGAGGGAACCTACGCAGACCTGGGGAGGACATGCAAACTCCACCTAAGTGACACTGCAGATGCCACTTTGTCCTTTCTTGTGCGACAAACTAGCATATCTGCACGGGAAGCAATGTTGAAACTATCTGAGGATTTAAGGCCAAAACATCTCCATCAAAAAAGCTGTTAAGCGCCAAAAAGTGCTGTCCATTATCCAGAAACTTCTTATCCTAGTCAGGAATACATCAGAAGAACGGCTTAGAAAATACAGCTCAGTCAGTATGTTTGGGCCTCTTACATCATTCAGTTTATTGGGAGCCAGTCAAACAAACAACCAGTGGACTCGCACAGAAAAAGCACAAGAAAGACTGTTTGTAAAGAGAGCAACCAAAGCAATTACTGGCGACCATGTGCTCTGGAACAGCAGCCCAGACGCCATGTTCTTTGTGCCTGCACTACTTTCAGTCAGCGTGCACTTGTTTGCACTTGCCAAAAAAGGAGAAAAAACTTTGAAGAGAAAAAAAAGAGAGCTGAAAAGAGAAGACTGAACAAAACAACTTTTGTGAAGTTCAGCTGTTGACGGCAGTGGTCTCTGAAGTTTGCTGTGGATTGTATATGCGCCTAATGATGAACAGGATACAAAACACTATTCACAGTCCAGTGTTTGGAGAGGTGGAAACAAACATTTTCACTTTTACTAGAGCTGAAATAATTAAGCAATTAATTCAAATTAAATGTTTTTTTTTTCTCTTCTCAATAAACACTTACCGGTATTTTAGTAATTGATGAATTGTTAGCGACTGTATGTCATGGACTCCCAACATATGCACGGGTTTTTATTTTAAGACTCAAAGAGAGTTGGAATCTGGATTTTCAGGTATAAAATTACAATCAAATCGAATAAATCAAATTCAAATGTCCTGTTAAAGAGTCACTTCAGTTTTACTCAACCACACAAAACAACTAATAGATTATTTTAACGGGTGATCAAAACCATTAGTTGCAACCCTAAATTACACACACAAAAATGCCTAGAGAAGCAACATGATTTACATGGCCACCGTGAAACTCAGCGATGCTTCTTGTGTCTTCACTTGTGGTACAGTAGATACTCACACACTGATATCTTGTGCTGGTTGTCTTTGCTGGGCAACATCTTCACTCCCCTGGACTTTAGCTCCGTCATCTTTTTCACTGTCAAGACAAATACAATTACATTGAAGGATTTCTTCAAAAAATGGTCTTTCCAATTGATTTTATTAAAATTCCGAATCCAAACAGGTGCTGAGGAGGACATTTACCAAACAGGAAGTTATAAAAAGAAAAGGGCTATTTTTTAGCCCCAAATAAAAAAAGAAAAAGCATCCTGAATAATTGAGTTTGATAAATATTGCACAATAATGGCCTCTAAATAAAAGGCTCATTAAAATGCATATTTATTCATCAGTTTCCAAACCACCATGAGCGTTATCTATGCTCCCTTTCACACCCAGTCGCTTTAATTACTCCGACTCTTCTCCACAATGGAACTTTACTTGTTTTGCACAAATGTCTTTTCATCCATAACATTCTTCAAACTGGATACAGAATGAAAATCAAATTAAAATGTCAAAATTTCATTCATAAGCCATAAGATTATAACCATTATAATCTGTTTCAACATGTCAGGAAAGATAACTACATAAGCTCTGCAAGACATTTGATGCTGTAAATATTGGTGTAGTTTGTAGCAAAGTCTAAAGTTATTTTTTGAATCCATACAATATGGAAAAGCTTCCACATTCAAGCAGCATCACTCCAACCGATGAGCTGGGAATCTTGGGAATTTCCAGGAGCTGAGCCGTGTGAGGGTGGGACCGTAATCTAATTAAAGTATTAAATCCCCATTTCTGTGATCTCCTAAACATATTTATCTAACATTAAACCTGGAATCCCATAGACTCCTCCACCGTTCCTTCCCACTCATGCTGTTCCTGCTTAATTTTCCAGTAGCTGAGTGGAAGTGGTCCTTGGAGAACGCTTCTATTGGGAAAAGCGTAATCCTATTTTTCCCGAGTTTAGCCCTGACACCTGAACCTCCCAGAGTAATGGGGCAAAAACACAACAGGGGGATATTTGGAAGGCATTGTTTCAGCTTTTACTTTTGACCTGTATTATACTGCATGTGGTTTATATGGTAAATAAGTAGCATTGAAATGAACCTTGGTATTGAGCGCTGAAGCCCCTCATCTTGTGGTTGCCGTCAGATGTAAAGTGCAGTCGGAGCCAGTTCTTACTGCTGATGATGGGAGAGGGGAGGTTTGGTCCTGTAAACCTGCACACATGGAAATAATCATTGTATGAATAACAAACCCAACAAACAGCATTTGTGAATTGTTGTATACAATTTAAGCGTTATTATCCAACAGCATTACAGAATTCATGAAGAAGATCAACATTATAGCACTTGGAATGGTTTTGAAGTCAGAATCGATATTTGAATGTCAAAACCAGATATACTGTATCATATGAACCAACACGGACTCTGGAGCACAGGGACTGGCCTCGTGTCGGGACCCTGTGGAGCACAGGGACTGGCCTTTACTCTGACTGCCCAATTTAATCAAAATTACAGTATTTAACCCGCATATTTTCAACTAAAGTCTTATTTTATTGTGCACTTTGTTTCTCAGACTATTGTACCTAGTCATAGTGTCTAAGTACGGCACACTCTCCAGCACATTTAGTTCAAGGACAAACTGTTGACTTCCACTAATGCCATGCCTCATTA